AATAGTGCCAGAGCTTCTTTCGCCGGGGAGGTACAGACATCTGCACACCAAAAGATCCGTTAAAGTCGATCAAATGTGGGAAACTTGGGTATAAAGACAATGCTGTGCTCCTGGGCGATAGCTGCCACACAATGACTCCTTTCCACGCGATGGGTATGATTACCGGCCTTGAAGATGTGCGTGTATTCTTCGAAGAGTTCCGTGACCCCGGGGTATCTGCTTTGCCAGAGGCGATGGATAGCAATGGCTTTGCAAAGGAGAAGCCATTCTGTGCTCCAGGCACTGTGCAAGCCTATACAGAGTTCAGGCTGCCTGATATTCACACTATGGTCGATTTTGCGAGTGAGCATTACCACGAGCTCCGGATCGGCGTTAGATCTCGAATCACAAGGATAATGAATATGATTGACCGTTTTCTCGGCGGATGGTTACCGGCTTTAGGTTGGACAACGTTATATGCAAGGATTCAATTTCAACATGAGAGGTTCAGTGTCGTCAAGGCCAAAGAACAGAGACAGAGGAAGATACTAGGCATTATTGTTGCTAGTGGTGCCATGTTAGGTGCCAGCATCGTCGCTGCAGGGATCGTATCTTTGCAACCGAGGATCACGTCAATGTTATCGGTGTCCACTGCCTCTCATTTGTCTCAAATGTTTTCGCTGTCAGCCTAATTCCCAAACGATACTGATGGATGAACGGGTCGAAAAACAACAATGGATGTGTGGTTAAAAAGAAGGGTTTCGGCACTGACTAACTGATTAACTAACGAGTTAAGTTTTGGCGGAGCTTCAACTTTTAAGCGCCCACTAGCGGCTAACGAACGACTTCGTCATTTCATATTTACCTCTGTAGGATAGATGAAATATCTCTCATTTCGATTTCATTAGGATGTTTCAGAAAATAAAACCAACCCACTCCAGCATGTGCTTAACTAGCTATGCAGCAAACTCCAAGTCAATCTATACCGGACATTGAAAATAATGAAACATAATATCATGACAGGAAGTAAACAGTAAAACAACGGTGTCGGAAGGGGTCGAGGAATATTGGTATGTGCGAGGCTTGAAAGCAGCACGAGTAGGTTGGTTCACTACCACGCACCAGGGTCGTTATCAAATCGGGCGAGTTCTTTTTCGGAATCCTCGACGTCCTTTTTGGCCTTCATTCTCATGTAGAAAATAGGGCAATCTCGACTCGAGCAAATGACTTCACCGTGCAAACTACCTTGACAACGTTGACATTGTGTCCAGAGACGACCAAACCTTACCTCAAGCTCTGAAACTTTGTTCAGGGTTCGGGTATATAATTCTCCCAGTCTAGGCCGACAGTTTGAACATACAGCACCCGACATCTCTTCCTTACCGACCAGCGGTTTCTTGCAGCCCATACAGGTTTGGGTCTTCTTAGCAAACTTCATCAATCCTCCAAGAGTCGGTGCTGCCACTGTGATGGAACGAGTGTGGTCACCCTTCAGCAGCTGAGCAGCCTTCTTTTCGCCGAGTATAGGTTCGAAAATACGGGTCAAAGGTTTGGCAAGTTGATTCTCTAGATAATATCTGGTATCAATGGGGATGTTGTTCTCGAGGACATATATCGGATCCTCAGATTTCTCATAGTTTTTAGCACCTGTGGCGCCACCAACGATAACGTAGGCAACACGATCACCAAGAGTAGGTGCAGAGCCCGCGTCTCGTTTTCTCATACGTTCAACAAGCTCCACATGGGCTTGTTTACCAGTGTATTCTTCCTTGGTCAAGGCTTTTGTTATAACAAGTTTTGACATGTCCACTTTGTTTTGAAGCAAGTCTGATATTATATTTTTAACATAGCTAAAAGAAATATTAGCATTTATTATGTATGAAGAGTTTCGTTGAAAAGGGTAAAAGATACTTACGTTTCCGCTCCACTGACATTCCGTTCAATAAGAATTTTGTTCAAAACGGTTTCAATAACAGTTTGAACCAGGAGACAATTGTCTCTTCGAACCGTTTCTATGCCCTTAGTGTCCATCTTGTCATATTTGACGGGGTTGGTCCAGTATAGACCAGCATATCGTTTCTTGTTGATAAGGAGATACGGGTAGTAGACCTTTTCAAACTCCAGTTTGATAGGCTTCATAAACTTCGATGATACGAACCCCGCAGCTTCTTCACCAAGTTTCATGGCTTCAGCGAGATCCGTGGTTCCAAATTTGACCATAACAGAATCAGTATCTCCATAGATGACTTTGGCATCATGAGTGTAGCCATTGGATATGGTGTATCTTGCCTCGACCTCCTCCTTTGTTTTCTCAATCATTTGACGGCCATAACTGGTGGTGCTACTAGCAATGGGAAGACACGGTAGTTTTCCGTTCGTGGCTCCCGTGATTCCATACACACTATTGGCACTGATTTTCAGGGCAAGTTGTCGGCCATTGAGCACGGCCTTCTTAAATGGGTCCTTTTCGACGGCTAATTCTCTCTTTGCCCGTTTTCTCGCTGCAAGTAGTTCCTCAAGAATCTGCGAAAGTAGTCCCTTGCGAACTTTGGCGGTGCAAAACATGTCATCATTTGGCGTAACGATGTAATCTTCGCCCTTTTTCAGCCCCAACTTTTCGACTGTCCGTTTACTCAGAAGTGTGGTGTAGCATAAATTGTGCGCCTGAATGATGCTAGGGTATAAAGATGCGAAATCAAGGGTGGCGATGGGAACTGGGTAGTAATCTCTCACAGGCTCTATAACCGTTGCACCCTCATACTGCTGGTTGCTATTGTCGTCGTTCTTCAAGTCTGGGATGACAAGTTTCTGCTCGAGAGCTTTCCGGAAAAGCTGGGAGATGAATTTGATCTGTTGACCTCTGGCCAGAAGGAAATTAAATGGAACACCTGTAACCCTTGCCATTTCAGTGTAATTAACCAAGCACATGAGCTTGTCCATAAGTCGCTGAGGCAAGTAGGCATCTTTCAAACAGTACACAGCGAGACGTCTTCTCGAGTCTGGCGTTCCGTTGTAAAGCTCTGTGATCATAGTATGATGGACGTCTTCCTTTTGCTCTCCTAGGAATTCAGCGCAAACGGAGTTCAAGGTATAGCTTCGCAAGTGGTGATCCCGTTGAACCAACTGCAACAAATCTAGCTGGATTCTTCCGTTGGTATTGGTGGCTTTGGAATCACGCTTACCCATTTGTTTGCTAGCGAATGATGTTTTCGTTGCGTGAGATTGGACCCCCTTCAATCGTGACCAGTACGGGAATTTCAGGCAATTCAGGTACCTTGCTCTGTCTAGCAAGTACGGGAAGTCAAAATTGGCAATGTTATATCCAATGATAACATCTGGATCAACCTTCTCCACAAAGTCTCTCCATGCCATTAGCATATTTTCTTCCTTGTCAAACTCTAGTACTTGTGTATTCACGATCGAGCTGCATGTGTCCATGACAAAAACGTTCCGAACAAAAGGTTTGGATTCTCCATATCGAGTGACTATGTTGGCGATCTGGATAACTGGGTCGATATTCGGTTCAGGAAAAATTCCCTTTCTGCCAGCACATTCTATATCGAAAGACAAGATACGGAGAGGTGCCATTTTTGCCCATTCACCATCATTAGGGTGGGCAGTCATATCACGATAATGTACTGACGCTTCGATTTGGCAGTTTGACTGGCATTGGCCAGGTGGTAACACCTCATATTTCGCTGCTGGTACCTCCACCCATGACATACCAGAAATCTATATCGAACCAGTGATTAGTTAGAATAACTAAGGGAGACAACGGAGGTTCGGATCCAGCTCACCCCGGTATCGATCATAAATCGCAAAAGGTATTGGATGTTATCAAATGTTAAAATTTCTCCTTCAATCCCTTTCCACATGCCTTTGTAGTTGGCTGCGCCGCTCATTATGGTAGACCGAACGGTGTTGATGGCCTTCGGGCTTGTCACGGTAATTTTAAGGTATGGGCTTTGCTGATTTCCTTGAAACTCGTACAGATTCTCTCTCATAGTCATTTGAACCGAATGAATCACCGGCTCTGTCACAGATAGTTGGTTTTCAAGATACGCTTTAAACGGGACGCAATCGGCTTGAGTGAAGGAGACCGGGGCCGCAATGTAAAGATAATGCATAAAGCCCGTGACATGAAGGAGTACCGAGTTGCCATTCTGAAAGGAAGAAAGGGTTAGAACCTGTGAAGGAAGGGAGGTAATAGAGGGGAAATAATGCCAGAGCATACCTCTGAGACTCCAAATAACTTCACGGCGGTCCCTCCAGCCAGGTATCCTTCCTCAACATCGATCTGCTGAAAACATAGACTGTCTCGGGAGGGATCAAAGCCATCTAGTGGTGGACGTTCCCACTTCTGGTCCTTCTCTGCATTGTTTTCCTTGAGGTCGCCAATATCCTGAGTCAACTTCTCCAACACATCCTCAAATTGACTTTTTTGCTGAGATCTCTGGGCTGAGCCAAACGAGCTTTTCAATCCATTTTGTGAGGATAACAAGGGCGCCCGGATATTAGTTTGCGGTTGACCAGCCTCGAGCTTCCGCTTTTTCGCCGAAGTAGGGGAAGTAGACTGGACCTGGACGTTTCGGCGGCTGACGCTCGCATCGCCTAGTATCCTTTTCTGAGGTTTAAGAGACTCAGCCATGGTGTTAATCTGCCTAATCTCCAAAGGACATAAGCCGCTTCTCACTGTGGGGGTTGTCAGGAATGAGACACGCTCCAGAGAGGTTGCATCTTTTTGCCCTCTTTGCAAAACGCGCGCTTCAATTAAATTGAACGATGCATCGCAGGCGCGCTCAACGCTAGGCCTAATACGGAAGAACGTTACGACACGAGCCAATTAAAGTTGCCAGCATCATTACATAATCTTAACTTCTAAATCGCTTTCGCGTTTCCGCTGCGCGTCTTCGAATAGGCGACTCACAAGCAGGTAAAAGCTGCCTTTCAGGGGCAATTTCGCGATTGAATATGTTTCATTTGGAACATATTGAGTACATAATTTGTGGAAATTTGATAGAGAAGACACGGGTTGTTATAAATCATACAATAGTAAGTCATCTATTAAGATAAAGCGGCCCTTAGTGTAATTCCAATCCACAGCATAATCAAAGCCATAATCAGCATGCTCAGTTTATTTCATCGAACAGTAGACAACACTTGCTCTTTAACAACTTTGCATCGGATCTATAGCTCTTTGAGAGCCCGTGCGCTACAGGAAGCGGAGCGCTGATGCTTACGTAATGAAATGGGCAACCTTCGGATATACTTTACTCCTGTCCCGAGGTGTTGGGTCGGACGGGGAAAATCGTTGATCCTGCTACCTTAATTTCCTGACTAAGCAGACTATTTTGGGTCCGAAGCTTGTCCTTGCCACAGCTGGAGAGCAGAAAGCCTTTTGAGACCAGACAACAACTCGACGGCGCATTTGGCGACACAAGAGACAGCCTTGCCATGGCCAGCGCATACTCATCGATATGCAATTCTGCTGATAATTAAGTATGAATATCCTACGATAAGCTGCGCCAGCCTACTCGATACCGGGAGACTACCATTATGATTGAATTTATCCCGAGTCAGCTTTCGGTCCCTGCTATACATTATCATGTCTTCCAGACGTAGTCATCGCAAGTCGCGAACCGGCTGTTATCAGTGCAAACGACGGAGAATAAAGGTAAGCTATACTAGAATGGTCCACTTATAGCATGGCGAAACTGGATGTTGCCGTTAATATCTACCTCAGCGCCGCAGCGTTAACTGACCTTCAGCCCACAGTGCGACGAATCTCCGGCACCCTGTGGAAATTGTCGAAAGCATAACGTTTTTGACTGTCAGTTTCCAAACCAGCCTCCGAATTCATTTTATGCCTCATTCGTCCCACTACCTACCACCCAACCTGAAACTACCAGCGATTCGCCAGCTCCGGTCAATGCTCCTCCAATAGCACCGTCTCCCATAGCTCCAGCCAGTGGCCCGACCGACACCTCCATAACCCCTGCCACCAGCGCTTCGAGGCATACTCCAATAATTCCCCCAGCGACATCTGCCCCAGTTCAATTTCGAACGATTGCTCCTTCTGCCACCCAACTTCCGGCTATCCTGAACCAGGGTCCTCCACCTAGTCCAGCTTGGGCCACCGGAATCGAACGGCATAGCATCTTCTCCGCTATTCCCGATCGTTTCCAGGAAGACAAGAGCTTGAATTTGGAGGACCTGGAGCTACTTCACCACTACACAACAAAGACGTACCAAACACTATCCAATAACAACGAGCATGAGGAAATCTGGAAGAATGTTATACCTGAAGAAGCGATCAAACATCCCTTCTTGATGCATGGGCTCTTGGCTCTGGCCGCCCTTCACATTATCGAATGCCACGATCCCGATGACAGTGAAATTCGCCGAAAGTACTCTGCACTAGCAAACAAGCATCAGAACCTAGCACTAGCTACCTTTCGTCCGGAATTGAACAACATAACACCTTCGAACTGCCATGCTGTCTTCGCCTTTTCAAGTCTCATCGCCGCACTTGCGTTTGCGTTCTCGAGGTCAGAACGCAGCTCTCAGCCCGCAGACCATATTGAGCAAGCCGTTCAAGACTTCTATCTCTTCCGTGGTGTCGACAAGGTCCTTCACGCCCAATGGTCTCGCATTATTAAGGGTAAACTAGGCGCTCTCGTCCGCCGTCCTGCCGACTCAAGCGCCGCCTACCCGCTGTCCAAAGACGTTATAGACAATCTCGACTACCTCCATAGCTGCAATGGCGAAAGCGCAGCTCACATTCCTGCCGAAGAAAAGGCTATATATAACCACGCAATTCGCGAATTAAGGATGTCTTTTGAACGATGTCCCTCAAATTGGGAGGGTGTTTTCCGATGGCCGATGGTTGTCCCTGAACCATATCTGGGGCTACTTAACACTCGGAAGCCTATGGCCTTGGTGATACTTGGCCACTACTGCGTAATACTAAGCCGGCTTGATATGTGCTGGTGGTCTGAAGGCTGGAGCCAGCACTTATTTGAAGCCATTTATAAGTCTCTGCATCCTTCCTGGCGTACGTTGGTCCAGTGGCCTATGCAAATGATTGGTTTATCGGAGCAGCTTGCCCACATTCCTTGATAGTTCTAGTACACCTTGCTACATCTCTAGACTTACTTTTTTGCTTCTTACCTTTTGCTTGGTTATTTCTCTATTTACTTCAATATCTTCAATAATGATGACACAGGCCGCTGTATATTATTAACAAAATCAATTAATAGAGGGGGGTTCATATTTATCATCTTCCTAAGGGCCAGTTGACTGCCAATCTTTCTGTCTCTTATTTTCTAGTACTGTCAAAAATTATTGCAGTTCTCATTGAATAACGTAGGCATTATGTGGGTATCGCTCGATGAAGATAAATTTAAACACTCGCTTGCAAGATGGTATGTCTGTATGGTAATAATCATTATTCCTTCCACAAGCTCTCGGCCAGGTCTCGTATCTCTTCTAATTCTTCTCGGACTTTCTTGCAGGTTGATCGATGGCGGATATCCAGCTCCACCATTCCCATTATGCACATTGCCAAACGCTTTGCAATATCATTTGCTACAGCAGAACGGCTATTATCCTGGTTCGCGTCGCCTTTAGACCTCCCATGATTGATACAGTTGCGGACGATCTTATCTGTAAAATCTGCTGGTAGGGCAGGGCGAGAACATTCCTCCTTGCCCGGAAAAGATTCCCCAAACTGTGGCAGGTTGCTTGGAGAGCACGTCAAATTGGACAAGACCATTTGTCTCTCCATTCGAGTATCGATCTTATACAACAGTTCAAACAAGATAACGCCCAGAGCATAGATGTCTAGAGAATTGTCTGCATACAGGTGCAGGTCTCCCGAACCTTGAGTGCGGAATGAATGAGCTGGCGGACGGTAGAACTCTGTTCCAACGGGTCGAGTAGGCATGGAAGGAAGATCCTCTGGTATCGTACTCTTCCCGTATGTAGGTGATTCCGCCACCAAGCCAAAGTCGCCGATACGTGGAACGGAGTAGAGGGTCTTCTGGTCGTGTCCATCATGGCTGCAGATCGGACACAAGTGCGTGTCTTGTTCTGTATCTGAGGGAGATAAAAACACATTGGCAGGTTTCAAGTCTCGGTGAACGATTCCCTTTGCATGAAGGTAGTCCACCCCTGAGAGGATTCCTAGCAGTAGTTTTATAGATGGTATGATATGATAGCAATGGCGAGGCCCGCTGTGCGAAACACTATCAACTTGCGGAACCAGGTACTTTGCTAAACTCAGTGGATGAAGGGACATCTGAATGTGTAAAGTGACTGGCGCAGCGGTGTCGGGCCTAGACTTTCTATCAAGTTGCATATTTGAGCCTCCACCGCCCAGTCCGTCACTGAAAATATCAGGTCCCGATTCACTTGCAGAATTCTGGCCTGAAGAAGTAAAGCTGAGCTGGCGAGGAATGGATTCTACGTATTCGTCATCGATCGTATCTGTTTCATCTTCTTCGACACTGGCCACGAACGACTTCATGGATCTTTCTGAGGAGACCGTTGCGAAGCTTCCCCTTCGTCTATCCTGTTCACCGGTAGACAGTCTATCCATAGACGGCTCATGCTTTTCCTCATGCGCTGGTGATGGGTCGGATGGTTCCTCGAAAACAACTCCATTGTCGGACTCTTCAAATACGATGCCACAGCTAGACGCACTACCGTCATACTCGGCATAGGGGGTGTTGAGTAGCGTTTGTTGCCGTTTCGGAGGGGAAGATGACCGAGAGGTAACAGGAGTTGGCGAGTACTCTGCCCATGCTCCGTAGTAGCGAACGACGTTGACATGTTCCAGCTTCGCTAGCGTTCTAATCTCCTTTAGAATGTTATCAACCTCTCTCAGGCCTCTTTCCTGCAGCTGCTGTAGTTTCTTGGAGCTCAGTGGGATTTTCTTCACTGCATAACCCTGTCCGTCTACATGGTGTCTGACTCGGTACACCACACCATACGAGCCCCTACCGATCAGTGCTTCTTCTTCGAACTCCGTTGCGTATCGAGACCCTCCCACTCCTGACGGATGAGAGTATAAAAACGGTATGCTAATGGGTCGGGCAAGCGGAGTGGCCTGACGCTGTAGGCGGTTCAAGAGCCCAGAAGTAAACTGGTTTTGACTTTGTGCAACATCTGCTCTACCGGTTATTAGCCGTTGGAGACTGATGTTTGTCGGTTGTTTCATCGAAAACATCCTATTCTCACCAGCATGTGCATCTTCCTCCTTGGTGCCCAGGGCCATGAAGGGGTTTTGAGGGGTATCTATGGGTGTCTGCACCGCTCTAGCGTTTAGGTTTAATCCATCTAACGCTGCCATACCAATAGTATCAAGTCCTTCTCGATAGTACTGCCGTGTACTCTCCCAACTATCGTTATCGACACCTGGAGCCACGATACCGTGAGAAGACAAAAACTTGGATTGGTATGCATAAAGGCGCCGTCCTAGCAGCTTGACTTCCGGTGACTCCAGAGTATACTGTCCACGGTTACTAGATTGCTCGTTGAGGATGCCACAGGCTTTGGTCAAGCAGTAGTGTTCCAGCAAGGCCGCAGTCATGAGAGCCGCATGGCCCTCAGCGTCCACGTCAGGGATATCACGAAAGCCAAGGTCTCCATAGAAAGAGCCTCCTCCTCCTCCTCCTAGAATCTCTCCGGCTGTCGACTCAGTGTCGAGGCTGCTACTGGTGCGTTCGATGTCCTGGGCGGAACTGGAATGGCCGTCTTGTCTGGGCGTGTGGCTATTCTCCTGTTCTTCTTCGGAAGATATAGAGCTTGACTCTTCGGAAGACGAGTCATCTTGGGGCGATCGAAACATGGACTTCGACATTGTCGGTCAGTCAGAAAGAGGACAGCCAGGCAACGAGTAATCCCTTTGGTGCTCGTCCTGCCCATCCAGACGTATTCAATGCATTTGAACCGGGAGATGCCCAGATGGCCACAACACAGACGAAGAGTAAAAAAGAAAAAAGTGAAGAAGTAGAAGAAAAGACGCTGGATCTTATTGAATAGCAAAGCTCAATAGGGATGATTAAGCGTGGTTCGTCGATGCAATATTCACTCCAGTCTCTCCTTGTTGTAAATATAAATAAATAGCAAAAATGACCAAAGTGAGTCAAATTTTATTTTATTTTTAACTTGGAGGCTCCAGAAAAGAACACATCGCTGGATCTTCCCCACGCGATCTCTGGGTTTCGAGTATCTTCCATGAAACAAGTGGCAGCAGCAGGGCAAGCAGAGTGACTTTGGCGGGCTTCTCCTGGCTATCTGATGTCTGGATCTTCCACGCGCCCTGCAGCCTGCCATCTGGTGACTTGGTCGGTTGAATGGCCGGACGGTTGGCCTGCTCATGAGAGCTTCGCCTCCGGGTGTCAACGCCAACTTGACCACGGCGGGGCTCCTCTGCGAGCTACCAGGTGTGAGGAGGTTACCAGTCGTTTACTTTGGGCTAACAACAGTTGATGTAGTGACTCCTTGCAGCCGTCAATTATAATAATCACATACCATTCAGCACCGATAGCCGTCGTCGGCTCCTCCCAGCTAGTTTGAACCTGGCCACAACAGGTTCACTCCTCAGAGGCTGCCATGCATCTATGCCATCCAGGATACCCTCTCCACCTCTTGCCAACGGCCGGCACGCGATACTTTCATACTTCAGGCCTGGTTTGATATTATATCCGCAGAAGTCGCTCATTCTAAAAAAAAAAAAAAAATAAAATAAAAATATATATATATAAAGATCACGTGATGAAACTGGGACCACGCGAGAGGTTGAGATCGGATCTCGAGCAGGACTCGACTATTCAACTATTCACGGTTATAGCTACAAGATGCCTACGTCTCTGTCCGAAATGGGTTGGCTATAGATATATTCTGTATTCAACATGGCCTTATGCATGCAAGTCTTTCGTCTCCCTGCTCCCTAACACGCCCTTGAAGCTACATGACAGCAGCACCAGCGACAAAACAGCCCCAAGCAGCCAGGTCAACCACCCAGGTGCGCACGCGGTGAACCATCAGCCAGCTGTCAATATCCGAATTCGGCATGCCCTGCGGCCTATCCTCGATTATAGCCTGGACCTTTGGCGCTTCAAAGGGAACAAAGATAAGGTGACTTGCTGCTAACAGAGTGCCGGTAGTGTACCAGTATAGAGTCTCACGGCCAGGTTTGTCAATGAAAGCATTATAACCGCCAGACAAAAGAGTAAGACCGAGAAGACCGACAACGCGCACGAGGCCACTGCGAAGGAAGTTTCTGAGACTCGAGGGCAGGAGGCTATTGCTTTGAGCTCGGTGGTTGGGGTTAAGGAAGACGCCCATGAGGAAGTCTTGGTCGAACGAGTACCATAATGAACACGTTGAGGTGATCAGCGGCGCGATGCGCATCAGTACACGGGGGGCGTTGTGTTCGAAGACATTTATTATGTCAGAAGTGCTTCTATCGTACGGTAAAGCTGCCATCATGAAGAACGACAAATGTCGGTCCTAAACTTGGTGTTGGCCTAGTTGTTCGAATATAGACCGGGGTCTTAATCTTCACTTCTGCTTAAGTACAGGGATGATCGCAGGGCCTGACGGAGATCCCAAACAAAAGTGCCACACGCAGAACTCCTTATACGTTCGCTCTCCATAATCACTGTGCAGCGACTATCGGCCGAAGACTCCTGCCTTGATTCAGCTGCCTGCACGAAGCCGTCCGCATGGCAAGATCGAATTATATACATATCTATAAACCTGCCAACCACACAACAACTATCAAAAGATGAGACAGGAACACTGTCTTGGCCGCCATGGGCTAGTCTTCCTTAACCTTAGCTTGTCGTCCTTGGGAGCGTCAGGGGTCGAATAACACTTCGCAAAATTTAGGGACTTAAATCCTTCCACCACCCCAGAGCTTCGTTGCTACGAAGCTCATCTCGGTCACCACATATTATTGTTACTATTCTCGTGGACACTGACTACACTGATTCTTCCCCTGAGATCGATCGATCAACCTCCGGACGATGGGCCTGGCTGAGTCAACTCTCCACAAGCTGCATCATCTGGGGGGGCGATTCTTGGCCATTCTCCTGATTCCTGAGGCTGGAACTTGCTTGATGACGACTACTATGCCGTCTGTGTGATCGTTTCACTCCCTGCGTTCTCTGTCTTCTTTCTTCTCCTTGTAGGTGTTCGTCTCTCGTTATTATTATCGTTATTCTGTATTTTGCTTGTTCTTGTACGCTCGTTGCTCTGTTTTACATGTCGGATTCCTCTCTCTCCACTGCTTTCGTTGCTTTTTTTTTTTGCCTGAGTTTCTCTTCTAATCTGATATGGGCCTCATCCGTCGAAGATTGATCCTACCTCTACTATTATCGTCAATTTTCCTCCTCTGCCTGCTTCGTTCGAACTCGGTGATCTCCAATGGCTCAGCATCTACTCACCGGCACCGGCATTATGGCCATTGGTGGAAAGAATATGCCCAAGACCACCCGGTTACCTCGATGATCCCCTTACCCACGCAGTCGCCGGCCGATATTCCTACTATCCAGTACGCCTTCGAGGAAGAAGAGGCGGCCGCAAAGGCAGTAAGGGAAAAGAGGAGAGACGCAATAAAGTCGGCCTTTTTGCACTCCTGGAACGGTTATAAGAAGCATGCCTGGGGAATGGACGAAGTTGGTCCACTCTCCGGGAAGAGCAAAGACACCTTTGGCGGATGGGGGGCCACCTTGATCGACAGTCTGGATACGCTTTGGATTATAGGGTTGAAGAAGGAGTTCGAGGAAGCAGTTGTTGCTGTCTCCCGTGTTGATTTCTCCGCAACCGAGACACTAACCCTCAACATCTTCGAGATCACGATTCGTTATCTCGGCGGCTTGCTGGCCGCCCATGACTTGACGAAAGGGGCCTATCCGGTCCTTCTAGAAAAGGCTGTTGATCTGGGCGACTTACTGTACATTGCATTCGACACACCGAATCGAATGCCTGTCCTTCGTTGGTTCTGGTTAGCCTCCAAAGAGAAACGAGATCAAGACGCTAGCAACATCAACGTACTAGCTGAGCTGGGCTCGCTCTCCGTCGAGTTCACTCGTCTGACCCAACTGACGGGTGATCCGAAGTACTATGATGCTATTCAGCGTATCACCAATGTACTAGATAAGAATCAGGATTACACTGCGCTCCCAGGCCTGTGGCCTATTTCCATCGACGCCCTCACGCCAAACTTCATGTCCGATAATCGATTCTCGTTTGGCGGACTGGCAGATTCTCTGTATGAATATCTGCCTAAGGTATGCACACATGGCCCTCCTGGTAGACGCGTTGTAGCTCACTTAACTCAAGGAATACCTTATGCTCGGTGGAAGATCATCTCAGTATCGTACTATGTATGAAAAGGCAATCCATGTGGCGAAGAAACACATGTTCTTCCGCCCTATGACAGAGAATGGTGATGATATCCTGATATCCGGTACCGTGCGCGCGAGAGGGAGGTCAATAGACTTAGAGCCAAACAGCCAGCATCTGACGTGCTTTGCTGGAGGAATGGTAGCAATCGGTTCTAAAATATTTGATCGTCCAGATGAACTTGACATTGGCAAGAAACTAGTAGAAGGTTGCATCTGGGCGTACAAGAGTATGCCTTCAGGAGTCATGCCAGAGGCCTTTCGCGCTGTCCCCTGCTTTGATGAGCATGTCGGATGTAGCTGGAAAATCCGAGAATGGCTGAATAGCGAAGATGATGATCAACAGCCAATAGAAGAACTGAAACGTCGAGCGAAGGAAAGGGGGATATATCCAGGCTTCAAGGACATATCTAGCCCTGCATATCATCTTCGGTAAGTGGTTCTTTTGGGGCCAGTACACATAAGTTGGTGTGATCCTAACATCGTACCCACTACAGACCAGAGGCCATTGAATCTGTGTTTATCCTTTATCGAATTACAGGAGACACCTCCCTCCAGGATAAAGGCTGGGAGATGTTCACTGCCATCGATAGAATGACGAAAACCAAGATTGGTTATGGTGCTGTTGAAGATGTCACGGCAGCACACCCCGTCATCACAGACGAAATGGAATCTTTCTGGACCGGGGAAACCCTCAAATACTTCTATCTTCTATTTAGTGAACCGGATCTCATCAGTTTGGATAAATATATTTTTAACACCGAAGCACACCCGCTGCTCCGCCCTACCTAGCGTCTACTTCTTTCATGTACAATAATATATACGGCATATACCCCTTTTTCATCGGCCATGCTAGGTATATAACCAAGCATCTCTTTTTAGTCAGATTCATTTCAATTGTCGAAGCAGCGGTTCTTTCTGCGCGGGCAGAATAACCGCCCCCGGGGCATACTCCTGTGAGTCCCAGCCATCTGCTTCACCTCCAGGCCATTATCCAACGATTTTCTTTGCAAATCTACTCCGCGCCATTTGTGCTTCAAAATACAATATAAAATAACAATACCGGCCTCCTTCGTCCGTCACTTCTGCCGGAGCAGCCCGTTCAAACATATGTTTTAAAGAACGCAGCCCGATAACGGATACCTTAGGCCGATAGCCCGGCGCTAGGAGCTGGCAGGGCATGCCCAGAAACGGCTTTTACCCACCTGTAATTCGAACAGAAAAGTCTTACTGGATCGAAAATCTCGGTCTAAGGTCTAATCCTCGCACTTAATATCATCGCTCTATATATTGCCCACCCAGGGCTCCATTACACTAAACTGGATATGGCCTTCACTGCCTGTCTTTGCGTGACAACAAATCGTCAGTTGTACTTTTGTGGCATTTCAAGTCGAAAATAAGTGTAAAATAAGATATCTTTGGGCATTAGATTGCTCTCTGTAACTCATATTCAGGGATTTTGGGAGATCTCTTCCATTCAACAGTTGTTGTACAGGTAGCTGGTAAACTCCAGGGGGTTGAAGCTAGGATCAAAGTAAGCCCAACCAAGCAGCTCAGTCGACCTTCAGCGTAGGATTTAGAGAGATCCGTATATCCAGAACTAGTGGCTTCATGGCCTTGTTGCACCCTCCTGAAGTTCCACCAGAGAAAAAAAAATATGGCGGTTACCGCGTGCTCCGTCGAGATATTTGGCACCGCGGAGCATTGTTTCTCATGCCTTGGCCGCAGGTTGACCATGAAGATCATCAACCTTGGAGATTGCGATTACATTTTTAGAACCGTCGCCACCAGCCTTCCGTCAGTTCTCAATTTGTGACTTGGCCGCAGGATCAGTGCTTCGAAGTAATTAGTCCCTGGCAGCTCTTGGCTCTATGCGACGACTTTAGTTATTTAGGGCCGAGGTTGGCAGGGAGGGAATCGTCACAAACGGATTGCATCGCATGGCAAGCAGGTTATGCCGCTAATCATCATGAAGATGGATTTGCTGCCAATCCGACGGATAGTCAACTTCTTTTGGAAGTGATAAAGTAAAAGTGATGAGATAGGATAGTCCACGTTGATTTGGACAGGGCCGAAAGTCGTGCCAAAGTAGTCTGGGAGAGTTTTCCCACAGCCTGTTACTTTGAGCTATGGAGTACGGAACAATGGAATATAAAATGTGGCTTGCTCCCTTGTCTTCAAAACTTTGACTGTCCAGGAGACTTCTCATCTGTAGCCAGCAATCATCCCTCTGATTGGAAGTCCTTCATTCTTCTTCATTCATTCATTTTCCTTCATTTTTTCACCTTCATTTATTCCCTTCGTTCTTTTCATTCCTTTATCTTCGTTCTTTTTGTCATATTTGACTATCAAGGCAACAGTAGCCGTCTAAGGATGGTCATTTTCAGCACACTCTGGTTTGGCCTGTTATTCTTTATTGTCACCACTCAAGCCCTACCATCACCATTCAATTTCTATGGCCCAGCCCCCTTGCCGTCCGAAGATCCATTCTATAAACCACCACAAGGCTATGAATGTTTTGAGCCAGGTACCATCCTGAAGCAGCGAAAAGTTCCTAGCCCTATTGTCACTCTGGGTAAGATTCCCGTGCGATTGAGTGGCGCTTATCATGTCATGTATCGCACATCCGACAATTTTCGTAACGCAACTGTCGCCGTTACAACAATTTTAATACCTGAGAAGCCCGACTACAACAAGCTTCTGTCCTTCCAGGTTGCAGAGGACGCTTCCTCCCCAAACTGTGGTGTTTCTTACGCCATCCAAAGGGATCATCAGACGAAACCCGAGTACGGCACAATTATCACTCGAGCTGAACTCTTCTTGATAATCGCCGCCCTTAAGAATGGATGGGTAGTGACGGCTCCTGATTTTGAAGGGTTGGAAGGCTCATGGCTGGCTAATTACCGTGCCGGGTACGCTGTTCTTGACGCTATTCGCGCAACACTGGCCTCACATTGTTTTACCGGCATAGCGCAAGATGCTGTTGTCACCATGTGGGGGTATTCTGGAGGCAGTCTTGCCTCTGGCTTCGCTGCCGAACTTCAACCATGCTATGCTCCAGAACTAAAGATTGCTGGTGCTGCTCTCGGAGGAACAGTTCCCAATATCACTACAGTCGTCCATGCTACCAACAAGAGTATGTGGGCTGGTTTGCTTCCTGCCGGTATTTATGGATGGAGCAGAGACTATCCTTCAGTCGAGACGGCCATCAATGTTATGTTAAAGCCGGAGAGGAGAAAGGAATTTCTGAAGGTAGCAGACCAGTGCTTTGCCGCCAACCTTGTCGATTTCGCCTTCGATGATATTTTCGCATACTTCAAGGACCCGAATATCTTCGACAGACCAGAATACGTGAAAGTCGTTGACGAAAACTCGATGGGGAAGAGCATCCCTCGGATCCCACTCTTCGTCTATAAATCCAAAGAAGACGAAGTCAGCCCCGTGGAAGATACTGATGACCTAATCAAGTACTATTGTGACAACGGCGCTAATGTCCATTATAATCGCGATTTGAAGGCAGGGCACCTTCTCCTAGCTCTCTCAGGCGCTCCTAGTGCAATGAATTGGCTTGCTGACAGGTTCGAGGGTAAATCTGTGAGTACGGGATGCAGAGTGACAGAGGAGCTCATGAGCTTAGCAGATCCTCAAGCGTACAGGGTTCTGGGCCTGGCGCTTATTGGGGAACTCCTGGCATTGCTGGGCAAGATTATTTTGGGCCCTACCAGCCTAGCTTGGTAGTTAACGAGTAACGATTATTCTATTGTATATACTCATAATATCTTTTGCACAAAGAATAGATTTAGAGCTGCTACTCATAGGAAGATTTTCATTTGTAAGCTATTTGCTTGAGAACTGCAGGTTGATGTTCCGTAGCTGACGTTGCGATGCTCGAGAAATCTTTTGATAACGTTTTCGATGTTGAAGCTAATCCTTGAACACTCTTATCTTATCTGTATGACTAAGCTCGATTCTGACCTCACTCTTTATCAACCTGACCTTCAGCAATCTCCTAGGTAGGTAGTTGAAACAACTGGAGACAACTATTGGGGTCCTGCCTACTGAATTTTTACAATCACTTTGCCAGCCTATGGCTGAAAGCTTGCAGCAATGGAGAGCTTCGACGATGTGGCTCTGTCTTTAAAATCCGTTGCGGAGATGGGCTCATTTAGTGGGCAATCAGCTGGTTGTCAGCCACAACCGCACGAGCCTTCGGATATCAGGCGAACGTCTTTTGATAAAGCTGCTCAGCGTCACGATGATGAGGGGCTCACTAATATTAAAGAAGACAATAATAGTCCTAACTCGTCTCTGGCTGACTCCCCGGCAACCGTTTTGAATCCATATGACCCACAACGGACACAGGGGGACAAGAATAGGCAAACATCACAGCAAACAAGCAATTCAACGAGCATCGACAATTCCTTTGAGGAACGCCGTGGTTCAACCAGCATGCTAATATTTGATGATGACGGAGAAGGTGGTGATGAGGAGCCTCATGTTGCCAAATCTTTCGAGAGAACCACCTCGCCAACTAGTGCCGCCCATAAGGGTCGGGATGACACTGATACCAGAAGTGATGGCAGTAGCATGGGGCATGCGGGGCAGGATGGGGATCTTCCATTTGCCAAAATGCACAAATTTTCGCTCTACGAAACTGCTACAAAATATTATCTAGTTGGAATGGATCTCCTGGATCGACGCTTCCGGATGCTAAAAATTGATCGTACATCAGATCCAGAGGAAGACCTCGTCTTTGCGGAAGATGAAACTATATATTCAAAAAAGGAGATGAATCAGCTCCTTGATGCTGTGGACGATGGAAATAAAAGCTCTGGTGGACTGAAGCTACGTTGTAGCACCTGGGGGCTTTTGGGGTTTATACGTTTTACCGGGTCATATTATATGCTCGTGATCACCAAACGAAGTCAAGTTGCCATGCTAGGGGGCCACTATATTTATCAAATAGATGGGACGGAGCTTATACCTTTAGAGTCTTACACCACAGCAAGGCAGAGACCTGAAAAACACGCAGACGAAGCTCGATTCGTTGCGGTCATGAACAATATCGACTTGACTCGTTCTTTTTACTTCAGCTATTCTTATAATATTTCCCGTACCTTACAGGATAATATTGTCGCGGAACGACAAGCGATCAGATCAGAACAGAAAAACCGTGGAAACGGTGACCCCAACTCTATGTTCGTTTGGAATCAGTATTTGCTAAACCCAGTTATCAAGCTGCTGAAAAATGCCTTTGACTGGTTCCTGCCAATTACCCACGGATATGTTGACCAGTCTGCAATATCAATCTACGGAAGACTCGTGTACTTAACCCTCATTGCTCGCCGGTCCAGGTTTTTTGCCGGCGCTCGGTATCTTAAACGCGGGGTGAATGATCTTGGATATGTGGCCAATGATGTTGAGACTGAGCAGATTGTTTCAGATATGCTTACCACGTCTTTCCATGCGCCTGGTCCGGAACTCTACGCGAATCCGCAATACACCTCCTATGTCCAGCACCGTGGCAGTATCCCTCTAGCATGGACACAAGATAGTACCGGAGTTACACCCAAGCCTGACATCTCATTGAGTGTCGTTGACCCCTTTTATTCTGCAGCAGCTCTTCATTTTAACAACCTCTTTGAAAGATATGGCAGTCCTGTTTATGTCTTAAATCTTATTAAGGCTCGAGAAAAAATCCCTCGTGAATCTAAGCTATTGACGGAGTATACAAATGCTGTGAATTATTTGAACCAGTTCCTCCCCGACGATAAGAAAATCATATATCGTGCTTGGGACATGAGCAGAGCATCAAAGAGCCGGGACCAAGATGTCATCGGAACATTAGAGTCTATCGCAGACGATATCATTCCGAAGACTGGATTTTTCCGAAATGGTGAAGATGGGGCATCTGGACTGCGCATGCAAAATGGAGTTGCAAGGACAAATTGTATTGATTGCCTTGATCGAACAAACGCCGCTCAATTCGTCATTGCAAAACGCGCTCTGGGATATCAGCTGCAAGCCCTTGGTTTAATCGACCACACATACATTGATTATGACACGGATGCGATTAACACATTCACAAATATGTGGCATGGCCACGGAGATACCATTGCTGTGCAGTATGGAGGCTCACATCTCGTGAATACTATGGCTACCTACCGGAAATTAAACCAGTGGACAGGACACTCGAGAGATATGGTGGAGAGCTTCAAGCGGTACTACAACAATTCTTTCCTTGACGCTCAACGACAGGAAGCGTACAATTTGTTTTTAGGAAATTATGTGTTCTCCAAAAATATTCCAATGCTTTGGAATCTTTCCACCGATTATTATCTGCATCATTCTGATCCACGAACCTGGCTTGCAACACATAAACAAAACTACATAAATTGGTATAACAAAGAGCATCTTCAAAAGCGAGAAATGCCCCCCGCCCCCTCGGCCTCCTCAGCTCTGGCAAGCAAGCGTATCCGTGAATTTGATGACTACTGGCTTGAATACTATCGACCAAGAGCTATATCCTCCTTCTCAAAAATGTTCTCATTTAAAATGAGAACTAAACTGCCAGACTATCAACTTCAATCCATGCATCCAGGAGAACACGATCTTAGCCCGTTTGTAGTTAGAACGGATCACGAACCAGACCATCAACGTGATAGGAGAAATACACCGAATAAACGACTTACGATTTTAGAGCCCTCCGACGAGTTAAAAGATATTAAATCAAATTCACATAACGGCTATTCAGGTGCCATGCCTTTGCAACACTGGTTACAGCCCTCATCCGGAAGACTTATTCCCCAAGCCGGCATCCTGAAGGGAACTCAAAATGCCCTGGTCACCCATTCCCACCCAACCAACGATCCAATCTCTTTGACGAGTGCATATAGCCAGCCGCCATATAATGCCACCAAAGCGCAGGTTGCTCAATGGAGCTTTGGCCAAATGATTGCTGATTCTCTCAATCCATCCCTTTCCTCTGCTGAAGCAGAAGAGTATGAACGATATGTCAACCATCCGCTTAAGGTACCGCTGGTTGTAACTTCAGAAGCCTCACTGACCGCTGCATCTTTGGAAGAGAGAGGCTCGAATTTAGATTTATTTGAATACGCAAATCAGAGCAACCTAGAAGACGCTAACTTAAACTCGATTGCTGAGAGTAACATGGCAGACTACACCGATTTCTTGACAGTTGGAGATGAAGGGCTTACTGTTAACAATGAGGATTATGACAAAAAGCGCTACAAACGTTATAGACAATGGCTAAGGGGGAAGAGCTTATTTAAACAAGGTGTTGAAGTATAACATTTCGAATGCTGTTTCTTAACTTTCACACTTCTTGCAGTGTTTCGTATATGAGCTTGGTTTAGATACCCTAGTTGCCTTTATAATTTAGACAGAGAAGTACTTGTTTATGGAACAGACGATAGTTGAAACGATCCTATCTTAGTAAGGTTTCTAGTCTATCATCGGCATCTACCAATTCCTTAAGCTCGGCTTCGAAGTCAAACACTTTGTCGAACTCAATAGCTTTCAAAAGTATTACCAATCTTTTTAAAATGGACCGAAGATGTCCTCTGTCATCCGGCTGTTCGTCATTTGAGGATACACCATCCTCCTTCTCATCACACAGCCGAAGCCAGCATGTGCATATTCCAGCCAAAATATCCCCTCTCCATCTTGATAAGCGTGGCCAGCAATTCAAAATAACTGACTGATAGCATTGGCTAGATGCGATAAGCAATGGTAAATATGCTAAACCGAAAGGATTTGTGAGAGTTGAGGAGAGTAAAGGAACAATGTCCTGTAAGTACTTTGCAGCCTCAATTTCAAGGCTGGTCACTGCTTCGGCCAGCTGCTTCAGCAAAAGTGTGGAAAGTGATGGATGCGGGTATGAAGAAATAGATGTGTCTTCAGTTGGTCTCGGGCTGCTGGTATGAAGGTACGAAGATATAATGTGGTGGCGCACAAGCCTCGAAAGTGATTCAATCCGTAATTGAGAATCCTTCTCAAGATCAGCCTTGGATTTCGTGCTCAATGGTTTGTCAGAATATCCTTGGTATTTGGTAACAGCAGAGAATCGCGTCCGGATAACAGTGAATATAGCTGGATATGCAAAGCTTAAGAGATATACGGATTCTTTTTCTGGCGTTATCGTAGGGATAGATAAGAGACAGTGAGACAACGCGTCTTGAAATACAGAGTCGAGGTTAGTTCGACGTAAGATATCAGATCCGGTCTGTTCAAGTGGGCGAAGAGCGACCTCGAGCAAGTGACAGCCAGCAGCTTTGTAGGCGATATTTTCATCGTCAATAAAGGATAGAATTGCGGGTATAAGCAATGGAAAGTGCTGTTCGATCATACTATGATCTGTGTTCTATATTCATGCCTTAGTTTAGATACCGGGATTATTGATTTGGTACAAGCGTCACATACCTGATACTGTTGTACAATCCAATTAAGAACTGATACAATATACCCTTCTTTAAACTTCCACGGTTTGGTTCCTGTATCAAACAACGTGGGGTCAAAACTTGGTTTTGGAATTGGATGCATATCCTTGCGTCCTGCGGAAGTTATTGCTGGAGTCTTCGTCTTAGAAAACGCTGGTTTCACCTTTCTGCGAAGCATTCCTTCAATAATAGTCCCAAATTTTCCTTCTTCCCGAAGTTTAATTTCATATCTTTGGAGAAGGTCGGTCGCCATTTGGGCACCTTCCACTGTTGTCCAAGGGTCACTGGATGAACTGAACATAGCAAGGCTTGAGAGGATATCTTCAACATGCATAGCTTCATTCATTAGAAAAACTGGTGCTATAAGGGCTATAACCCGCAGTCCAATGGTTGCTTTAAGCCGATCTTCCCGGTATTTCGATATTATAGTATTTTTTTGTTCCTCTTTTTGCGGTTAGAATCAGGCTTTCCACGAGGCGAGTGGGGGGTAGAGCTAACCATCCGCAAGTTGAAATTCACTCCAAGCAGATGCAAGCTCTTCTCTTGGAGGAAGGGTAGCTAGTATCCAGTATAGTAGTGAACTTGCAGCATTTAAATTTCGGCCATCTTTCGTTTTTTCAGCGTTCCTGTCGCGAAGGCAAGCTTCTGCGACGAGCAAATTTTCTAACACCTACTACTTATTAGCTCATATTCGTGAAGAGTAGGATGCAAATACTCACATTATTGTCACCTTTGTGTTCACTAATATCAGACCAGAGACCTTCGAGGTCAACGTTGCATGTCGTCACAGCTTGGGTATAGATGTCCAGGCTACTATTGCTTGTGGCCTGTTTGACAAATTTTCGAGCCGTTTCACGACATTTATCCATGCTTGAGTCAACTTATAAGACAATCGCCATAAAAATCCACAGGGAGCTACGTAGGTGCATTTGGCCCTGTATATAGTGGGTGGTTGAAGTCTTGAAGATATTTGTAGGTAAAACGAGAAAAACAAGCGGCGCTAAGAAAAGAAATTGACGGCGGTGGTCCAGCCTCAACTAACTACTTTAACTAGCTAAGTGAGTCTACGGATACTAACAACTTCTTGTCTACACTTGTTCGAAAGCTAGCAATGTTTAGCAAAGATGTGCAGCTATATACTTGATATAGGAGATTTGACACTCTAAGAGAGCCTGGAGGTCAAGATTGATGGGTTCTCCACTGAATGAATACGGAAATCGAAAGTGTGGCGATAGCGATACCACTGTTGAAATACTCCATTCGTCTACGCTAGTTGCAAACACGCCTGAAGCCTATTGATACTCGTCTTTCCTGCGTATAGCTTCTTCTATTGCGCCCTCTGCATCTGTCCGGTCTGGATTCCGAATTTGCCATTCCATGGCAATTTCCAGAGCGGTTGTCAGCCATGCTCCTGCTTTCGAGTTTAAGGCTTTAATCATATCACGTCCATTAACAAGAGGCTTAAGGTTGGTTACTTCGAGGAGATTCTCCTGCTCTAAAAATTTCAGGACCTCAAGGTAATCATTCAAAACTATCCATGTGGAGTTAGTATACATTAATGGAGAAGCGAGGAGGTTTTAAAACTCACCGGCTTGGGCAGCTTTCCCTTGCATAACATCTAGCAGTATTGCCTGAATAAAACAAAGCCTCCAATCCGTTCCTAGAGTTCGGAGAAGTTTTGCAAGTTTCCATCGATCGTCAGATAGAGAGGTAGTATCAGACATCCCGTTAACATACGCTGTTTTGACATCTGATATTAGCCCGTAGCGGGTTACTGCTACGCTTAACAAGGTTGTCAATTTCTTTTCGCACCTAAGGCCATCCCGAGCAACCCTTGTCGGGCGGGGGGCCATTTTTCTAGCCTCTTCTTCAGTTAGGGGATGTTTAACATCAACCATCGCCCAAGGAGATAATGCAGCAATCATCCAGGACCGGTACTTTTCGTCTTTATCACGGATAAGGAAGCTTTTTACCGACTTCCGAAGCTCAAGGGACACATCGGGATAATCCGTTTCGTCTAGGATACTATTCAACAGAGTATATGCGATTGGCCAAGGAGACGTATCGACATCAATCGCACTCAGATGATCTGAAAAGATAGTGTCATATAGGCCCAGGCGGTTTATAATCATCAATGCGCCCAGGGGATCAGGGCCTAGAAGAGCTATGTCAGCATACCTTTCTCGATACAAGTCTCACCATAGTTCTAGAAAACATACCGCGGAGCATCTTTTCTATTTCGATACCAATTCTTTCCTGACTTATTTTAAGCCTGAGGGAATGCTTAATATCATCATCGCACATTGACTCTTCAGTATTAGGATCAATAGTATAGCCAAGTCTGCTGGCAAAGCGGATTAACCTTAGAACTCTTAATGGGTCATCTTTGAAGGTTTGATAGGGTGCCAGCGGTGTGCGAATCAGTTTCGCTTCCATATCAGACAGCCCCATGCCAGTGAAATCTTCTACTTCACCGGTGTGTAAGTTGTAAAATAGCGCATTGACAGTAGCATCACGACGAAGGGCGTCTTCTTCTGCAGTTCCAAATTCCACTTGTGGGTTCCGACTGGTGTCTGTATAAGTTTCTTTCCTCAGGTTAACCAAGTCCACGTCAAATCCAAAGACCCGAATTGTAGTTGTCTCGAGATGTTTTGATTTCTCTGGGTTCGCGGCGATCTTATGCAGTCCGCCAATAACTCCTTTGAGGGCATGCTCCGGATAGTGAGCCTTATATCTTTCAAGATTCTCTGGGATATCAAGGTATTCCTTCAGCGCCAGGCCGAACTCATAGCCCGTCATAGTGCTGATCCCGACGTCAATATCCTGACTGTCCACGCCTAGTACTTTGTCACGTACCCAACCTCCAGTAAACCGGAGAACGAGCCCAGAGCCCTTGGGGTCATCATTATTCTTACGCCGAATATACTCCACTGTGTCCAACAGCAGCGTTCGCAAGATTGCTTCCTCCGAGCTTAGCTGCACCTGTGGCACTTTCACTCCACCTCCCCGTGTCATTGTGCTCTCAGATACACCTGACTTTACTATGCGTCTGCGTTTGTTTGGCCTGTCAACTTCACCAGAAAGACCACTCATAGGCAAAACAGCTGCTTGTTGTGTGTGGTTGAAGCGATTCGAGTTCACTAGGGAGCGAGTAGGCTTCAGGTTAGGTAGTTGGCGCACATGAAGAGTTCGTCGACAAAGAGTTTCCAGTGGCCTGAGAAACAGGCGCATCGATTAGACGTCCACAGGTATATATGTCTATATGTTTTCTGCTGGGATTGGAGTGGTCGATGTGCTTGTATCTATCTACCCAGGTGTGAGTCAGTAACAATTATCTAACTAACTATTTATCGGAGAGAGGAAACAGGGGATTCGCACCTAAACCGCCTCTCGGCTGAAATAACGGACAAAAATTGGCAAAGGCGCACGTTTATCTCGTAGAATGCTGCAGTGGATAGTTGGTAGAGATGTTGTTCGGCTTGATGAAGTCATATCATAAACTAATCAGTTTATTTCGTTTTCATGTCTTGGGCAGATTTGCTTGCGAACAACATCGTCAACGTCAACGTCAACGTCACGTCAACACCAACATCCACTCTCAGCCTCGACGTTGGATCTCACAACGACTTGAAGAATACTCGGAAAGGCGCTCTCCCATACAGCGAAGACCATAGGCTACATGTTCACCAAAAGCAGCCAATCTGCCACACGCATACTCCAAACTCCGTCAGTCAGACCGAGTTGTCCATGACAACCCCCGAGGATGCTCCCCCGATCAAACCGCCGCCCTCCTTCTCGCCGGCATCACCTCTTCCCACCAAGTCCAGGTACGCTGAGCGGCTGCAGAATACACAGCAATCGGCACTGACGTCTCTCTCTGAGAGCGCCTTGCCCAACTCCCTGGCCTCCGAGCTACAGTCTGCGCCCTCATCCCGAGCCAGCTCGCCTGATCGACGGCTTTCTCGCTCCTCCCAGCGGCTTTCTAGATCTTCAACCCTCTCACCCGCCAGACATCAGATTGATACTGCAGATGATATACGGTCGACAATAATCCGGGCCTTCTCACCGGCTATCAGCGTTTACGCTTCGCAAGAGACAAACGAACTCGTGCGAAGAAAGGGGCTGACGGGTGGTTTCTGCGAGCTCCTGCGGCCGTTTGGCGAGAAAATTACCGGTAAGGTTATCATTCGAGACGGAGTGGGATCTAGCCGGAGCTGGGATGACTACGGGGTGAGATTTGTGCACTCAAATGGTAGCCGGCAGCCCTCGGCCGCAGGAGCTGAAGACATAGACCAGATACCCCCTTTGACACAGATTGAAAAGGTCCTGGAAACTCATCTCGAACCCTCTAATCGAGCGGCTAGTGATGTGATATTCGCAGGACAGCCCACTCCCAAGGGCGTGACGTTGTCATCTCCTTTATATAGGCTATTCTTAAGACGGCTACTGTCTGCAGACGCTCCTACTCCTCATGAAACCTTTCTTCACCCTGTGGCATGTGTTATAGCTATTAGTTCTAGTACACCGTCTCCGTTAGAAGCACTACGTCAGCTTTATGCCAGTACGAGCCATGGAGAGCAAGGCCCCCGGCCCTGGATTCATCCAGAATACCTCCGGTATTATGTCCTCGTTCATGATGAGGATAGAGACGACATCACTCAATCAACAGCCTTATTCGATCAGATGAAACGACATTTTGGTCTACATTGTCACATGTTACGGCTTCGAAGTAATCAATGCGTTGTGACAGATGACGACGGTATGCCATTCCCAACTTGCGAGTGGCAAAGTTCGCGAGAGGAGTTGATAGAAGCCAAAGAGCAAGGTATAAATACTCCCTATAATAGTATACAATTGACCGTGGCTAATCTAACGCATTTTTTATTCACAGAGCCCCTATTAGACGTGGGCTGGGAATCCCCCCATATATTCGAGTCCGATGTTACGGCCATTATATCCTTTATCCGGGAATTGGTTGCACAGTCTGTTATCCCTCACATGGAGAACCGTGTGGCCATGTGGAATGAACAAGTCGCTTCCAGGAGAAGAGGCTTGAGCGGGCGCTTCATGTCCATATCCAAACTCTGGACCGGCTTTGGTTCGAGTTCAAAGTCCTCTGGCGCTTTTGGAGGTGGTGGTAGTGGAAGCAACTACGACCCCTACCAGGGTTATTATAAGCCGGATTCCCCCGAAGCATTATTACGGAAGATGGCAGATTATTCTTTTATGCTTCGTGACTTTAAGCTTGCTTCATCAACATATGACCTTCTAAGAAGCGACTTTGGGAACGATAAAGCTTGGAGATACCACGCCGGAGCCCATGAGATGTGTGCTATAAGCATGCTACTTAACCCCCTTACCTCAACCAATAAATCCAAAATCGACACCGTGGACCAACTGTTAGATATTGCCTGTTACTCATACCTAACTCGATGTTCAGATGGCCAAAATACCTTACGCACTATCATACTTGGAGCAGAGCTCTTGAAATCCCGCGGCGGCTCTGCAGCTGAGAATGCCGCCAAGTGGAATATGAAAGTCCTCAACATGAACCTCGTCGGTCCAATTGGTCGAATTCTCGTCTCCGAACGGACATCTGCATGTTTTTCCGCGAAGGTTGCAACAGAAGGTACCAAATGGGGAACCCGACGACGGAAGGCCGGTATGTGGTCACTTCTGGCTGCTGACTACTGGCTAGCAATTGGTAAACCTGCCTTTGCATCTAGCTGCCTTGAGGAAGCCGAGAGGTACTATGGACCTATATTGGAAGAGGGGTTGTTTGCCTTTCCTGATCTACGAGCTTATGTAGAGGAGCTAAGGCTGTCTGTGAAGATGGGGTGCCTCGAAGCTCAAGGACTAGAGGGAGAGGAGGAGGAGGTTTCCGAAGAGCAGCTTGATGCTACCGAAGACATGAATGAGATGCCTACTTTCCGACGCCACCGGCGATCCATTCTGGGGTCTGTTGGCCCGTTAGAAAATACCCAGTCAGCCAAGATTCTAAGAAGGGAGGATGGGGAGCCTGAAGATGATGAATTTGAATGAAATAGACTACTAACGCTCTCTATTACTCGGTAATTGATACTCCATACCTTGCTTAACTCATTTAAACGCCTTCCTTCTTCTTGTTTCTGTGCCTCAGTTTTGCAGCCATTGCCGGACTACCCATCCGTGGTATATCTTCCAACGATTCCCCTAATATCCCATATGTGATCAACTAATATCCCATGTGTGATCAATGTGTCTCTTTCCCTCCTTTTCGCGGCCCTTTCGGCGCGTCCTAATAGGGTCATTTGGTCTAGGTGAAACGTTATTAGACATTAGAAGAAAGATGGTTTATTACACTTACAATGGCTTTCTTCAACAGACGTGATTCTGAGGACAAAAGGATCTCCCTTCTTTCTGAAGATTGCGGGCGGTTCCTCATCTCTTGCCATACCCCGTACAGGCGGATGGGAAGCAAACGCCTCGTTCCGCCTCAATTTTGTTATTTTTCGAGGATTTAACTGTCCTGCAGTTGTCGTCATTCCTGCTGGCCCATGCTGTCTAACGTACTCACGGATGTTCTCTGCCGTCTCTGGCGCTCTCCTGGGGTCTATGAGCGCGTAGATATGTTCTACCATTGCGAGGTCTTGGTCAACACCTTTAAAGAGTGATTTTATTCTTTTGTGGGGATATAAAAGTCTCAAATATTAGTACTTGATGCCCACCTAATATTACATGAGATGATAGCAATTTCGTGACATAGGCACTGATAGTGTCACTCCTCCATTTAGCTTAATTACTTAGCCGCGGCAGGATCATTGCGCGTAAATGTTCCTTCCGTCTCCTCAACTATCTCACACCAAGATATTTCTCCCAACTCAATCGTAACCCTGACCGATAAATCATTGTAAGGGATCGTAGTGAACATTCGAGTGTCAGGCTGTGGATCGGGGAAACTGTTGCAGTATCCAACGCGACATGTGCCCTCATCGATGGTTAGCTGGTCAAGGATGGTAAACGTAGCTTCTGCGAATCCCGGGCACGAATGATGTTCCATCCAGTCCCGAATCTCATTGTCTGTATAGTTCAAGAACGGAGACTCGAAATCAGACATAGGCTTGCGAGAACCGTGAGTGATTGAACTCAGGTCAGTTGTTTGTAGGATGCATGGGGCGCCTGGAGGATCGCTGTCCTCTTCCGATAGCAGTATCCCTCTGTATGCCTCGTCAATGAACCAATCGAGCACCTAAAATAGGATTAGTGAAATAGTACAAACATCGCTCGGCATTTAGCCATACCTTTGGAGGGATGTTCGTGGTGCAGAAAACAGGATACATTGTAGCATAAGTAGGTATTCGGTCATCTATATTGCCGTAAAGTTCACCACATCCCCGTGCTTGACTTCTCGTTGTTACCGGCATTGTATCAGGTATATAAAAGTGTATATGCCTGTTATGATATTCGATCTTCAAGTAGTAGGTCACCGTCGCAGTGCTATATCTCCATAATGATATGACGTCATAGGTATATTTTTCTCATCGTTGGCGCATCCGTTATCGCCTTGGTATCTTAAAAAGACAGTACATGATAATCGATATGGAGCAAACACGATGTTACAGGCATAATAGCCGGGATAGAGGACTTAAGTATATAAGTTAGGGGGCCTTATCTTGGGTGCTAATTTTAGACCTGTTGGTAACTAACAAGTTAAGCGCGATAATTAAGTTCGCCAAGAATCGATGCATAAGCGCGGTACTTGAACATCAAACGCCAAACGTCAACATTGAAACTCCACAGCAGCTCCCGGTCTTCTTTCTTTATCGAAGGATATGTTTTGGCGGCATTGCCTCTGGCCCTTTTCACTCATACTGCAGTGAAGTCGCAATGAGTGAGCTCCTATCATACATCCTTGACCACGAAGACGCCTTCCGCAGGTATTCGCCACCATTTCCTCGCGTGGAGTCCATCTCTTATCAAGCTAACTCCTGGTTTCCTTATCTACGTAAAGGGCTCGTCTACCGTCGTTATACTCCGACTTCTCTCGTCAGAAACAGACAAATCCCGATGGATATAATAGCAATGTAACGGCATGGCAGCGGGCTCTGGCGAATGCCGCTTTAGCCGGTCAAGTTTCTTCTCTATCCTCCAGCTCTTCCCCGAAGTCGGATTCTCGGAAAGATAGCCTATCACCCAGAAACAACTTACTTGTCCTACGAACTAGCAATGCTCTCATGGTGGACCTGGAAACAAGAGAGTGGGGAAGGCCGCTATCCCTACAGTGTGTGATCGTGAGTGTTTCGAGTTCATGACGAGGTTTTAAAAACTGGACGCGCTGGTAAATACTGATAGCGAGTAGGATGAAGCATTACGCAGTGGGCATATGATGCTGCTCGATACGTTTTTGAACAGTCAGACAAGTCCCTTCAGGAGTGGCTGGTTACGGTTACCTAGCCCTCCAAGTCTATCACAAGTGGTCATGTGGGGTATGAAACAAGCGCATGGGCTGGTTACAGGCTCGGATATCGATAGTCTAGCTGGTACCGGAACGCTTCAGACGAGCGAGTTGGTACTTGTAGATAATGTCAAGGTACTTATTTTCCCATATGAAATAAAACTGTATTAACACTGATTTTATTTTGCTAGCAAGCAGCAGGCAGGCTTATAAAGGGGGTTGTTGGTCATCATAACTCAAGTGTTGACCGCATATACTCTAAAGAAATGTTCATGTTACAGTTCGCTCATATATTTGGAGAAGAGACGTTGCTATCTACGACGGATTTTAATGTACTACTTACGTTCCTTTCGAGAGATAGGAATATTATACTATACGACGGAAAGGTAGGCACTGAACGCGGCCTTGTTATATCCAATGTTCAAACCTGCTAATAAGTCTATAGACAGTGAAATTTAGGGATGCGAGTGATACCACGGATCGCATCACTGAGGAAGATGCATCAATTGCCTCCCTCAAGGCAACAATTGCACGACTAACGTTGCAGGTGTCCACCTTGAGTGAGAAAATAAAAGAGCTCACTGGCAATGCGCAGAAAGCGCTCGCAAACAAAAATAGGATCCTGGCCCTATCCTCACTTCGGCTCAGGAAGCTCGCAGAGCGCAACCTTCAACAGCGCACCGATACCCTATGGCAGCTTGAAGAGGTATACTCTAAAGTGGAGCAGGCTGCTAGCCAAGTAGATATAGTGCGGGTTATGCAAGCAAGCACTGGAGTTCTCCGGCAGCTTAACTCCCAACTTGGAGGTGTGGACAAGGTTGAGGATATTGTTGAAGAACTAAGAAAGGAAATGGATAATGCGGATGAGCTCAGAGGTGTTATAAACGAGGCTGGACCGGTCATCGATGAGACTGAATTAGACGATGAACTGAAAGAGCTGGAGGACCAGGAGCGTGAAGCAAGAGAGGAGAAGGATGCGGAAGAAACTCGGAAACGTCTAGCGGAGCTAGAAAAGAACCAAGGGGTAATAAAAACTCCTGCCGCTCGCGCCACTGATGATGATCTAGAAGAGAGCATTGACAAATTGTCGCAGATGGCAATTGGCGACCACCTAACAGCAAGAGCGAAACAGAGCACCAAAGCTCTAGCAGAAACGATAGAGTAGACTTCTTTTTCGCTCTCCCTTCCGAGAGGAGATGGTCTACAAGGTATACGTGCGTGCTTAAAACCACTGTAATATACCCCGAGACGACGACGGCCAAGCAAATTGACAATTCCAGCTTGATGAGACAACTGCAACTATGGTGCCACTACAGCAACCTGCATCGATTTGTCTGTGCTATCAGGCTCTATCTCAGGATGGTCTTGCTCGCCTCTGGTCTCCTTCGCCTCGCTCGGCTGTTCCAGAACTGGCTCGTGAGACGGTGTCGTAACCGCTGCCATCGGTGTTGGCGCTGGCGCTGACAGTGACCCTTCATTGACCTCTTCTTCATTTGGTTGGCCTTCTGCATTCCCATTAGATACCGCTACACGTTTAGCCATCATACTGCGCGCCTCTGCTATGAGTTTTCTATAGTCATCATCATGCGACTGCGACCAAGCAGTCACATCAAAGTCTTTCTTCATTATCGCAGAATTGACTCTCGACGAAGCTTGTGAGGTTGCCAGTCCACCCTGGGTCCTTTCCCAAACATCGAGATCCCGGAGAAGATCTCGCTTTGATTTAGGATTTATAGAATCATAATTTGCATTCCATAAATTCATCCATTCTGTGTGCCGTTTTTGTAAGATGGGCTTCGGACCCCAATCTGGAATACCAAGTTCCTTGAGCTTTTTGCGCAGAGTGTTTTCTTTGAAAATGGAGTAATTTATTGTTGGAAGACGACTGAAGGTCTTAGGAGTGCTTGGGGAGCTTCTCAACCCTTGGAACCCAATAATCCTAGATGACAGGGTTAATAATGGTTAGAGTAGGGTACGAAACAGGAACACGTACCCATTAGACTTGGAACCGCTTTCTTTTTCTGGCGTGCCGGTGCAGTTATCTAAATGAGAAAACACTGCTTCATTCTTCATTCTTCTCATGCAGACGGGGCAAGCCACGAGTCCGTCATCTAAACGTGAGAGTTAATTTCTGTCTTAGAAGAAGACAAAACATCAGATTAAACGCAAGCTCATACCTGGCTGATACTCTTCATCTTCCTTTTCTCCGTCTTCTTCATCTGCACTATCTGGTATAATCACCGGCTCGTACTCCGACTTTGCGTTGTCTTCTAACCTCCTACCTTGTGACCTCGTCCTCCTACTAGTCTCCAGGCCCGTAGCACTATCTCCACCGATATGGTCAATCTTTCTCCTCTTCGTCGCCGGGTTTTCCACTGCATCCTCTGACCCTGGTCTAGATACTAGCGTTGTATGTATCGGATTATTCCTCACAAACGCAAGCATTGACGGCCTTGCTGTCTTGAATGACTCGACGAGACTCCCAACAGCCCAATTTCGGCGTAGCTTAAGCTCCTGGTCATTGCTGCGGCAGACAGGGCATTTTCCTTCAGAACTCAGACACCGCCGTATACACAGAGAGCAAAAGGTATGGCAACAGGAGGTGATGACCGGGTTGTCGAAGAAGTCCTTGCATATCTGACATCGTAAGGCGGATTCGAAGTGGGCAACATCTGGGAGTGGTGTGGCTGCCCAGTCGGTGGAATCAGGTATATCGAAATTGCGATCCATGGAGAGGCGCGGCTGTGTCCTTCTATCCTCTCTCTTGTCTGTCCAAAGCGATCAAATAAAACAGTCAATACGGAGTAAGCTGGCTGCTATAGAATGAAAAAACCGATGGCGTCGCCAACTTGAGGCTGAACGAAGAAAACACCCCGAGGCGAGCGCCAAGACCTAGTTACGCTGACTGATACGCGTAAATTGGTTTTTCTCACGCGTTTTCTCAACTACAGCAAAACAACGACGACGTCAAGGAGGCAGAGAGTAGAAGAAGTCGGAGTGCCAGCAAAAGGATGGGGACAAGCTGCAAACAGTTTCTGGCCGGAAAGGTGTTCAATGACGAGGAATTTGTACGTAGGAGAGGTTTCATGCATATATCGAGCTTGCAGTGTCATTGACCGGCGGATATCTAGGTCACATATAAAGCTCTCAGTAGAGCGCAGAGAGTCCACAGCAACCAGGCCAAGCGGTATGTTTTTGAGGGCCCTGAGATGTTGTTCATAGGCTAAGATGCTGCTACAGAATGCTATATGAGTTTCATCGCTCTGAAAATGAGAAGAAACCAAAGTCTGTCCATGCTACTTATCTGTTGACCGGAATTTCTGGTCACACCAAACCATTGCCTTTGAGTAGGAATCATTTGAAAGATGGCGAAGATGAGGTGATGCAGAGCAGTCCCGTCGTGGGCAGTCAGCCAGCTCAACCTGAGACGACAGAAACTGTGGCTGGACCTGCTATTACTTCTGTATTACTCGTTCCGGAAGAAGAATTGGAGGGCAAGTCTTTTGAGTCTGGATTGGGACCGGATTATGCTAACGTCTTTTACAGATGCAAAGTCCCGTTTCCAGAAGGTTTTATCCATTTTTGTATACAGCGTACAGCCGACTTCAATGCCAGACTTGAATGTGTTGGCAGACATTGGACAGATATCATCTACTTCTCCTGGGGACGATGTCTTTCAGCACAATGAAAAGTATGGGATGATCCAGAACAAGAATGTTAAGGTATGTACACTTTGGCCAACGATGTAAACCCCATGCTCAATTTTACTTTAGAGACGATCGGGAACACCAGCGTCTATGCCGATGCCCATTAAAGAAGAGAACCCAATACAGAAAACTGTGGTCAAAAAGGCAGAACAAGAGCCTCCTGGTAAGAAATCTATGACCCAGTCTACGGATAAGAAGCCAGAACCATCTTCAACTCCTTTTCGGGCACTGGGAAGCTCGCAGTCAACAACCAAATCGTCTCAAGGCAAGCCTACACACAAACGTGACTCTTCAAGTATATTCAAAGCTTTCGCCAAATCAAGGCCAAAGCAACAGACGAAGGATAACGATGCAGATGTAAGCAAACTCCTTAGTCCCTTAGGGAATTGGCATTGACCGCTAACTGTTTAAAAGTCGACACCAAACGAGTCTCAGAATAGTATGCAACGCCATCACCGGTCAAGCAATTTGATCTTTGCTAATTTCTTGTATAGATATGCTAGATGATGAGTCTGAGGAGGAAAGAGAGGACCTTTTCCTGGATACTGGGAAAAAGACTACCAATAAAGAACAAGAATCGAGAAAAGATCGGGAAGAACGCCTCCGAAAGATGATGGAAGGTAAATATTAATAATATCTCCTTGCCATCGAATACTGTGATACTAACATGATGGAAGATGAGGATATGCCAGATGCACCAGAATCGCCGCCCGAGGAAGAGCAAGCGCCTGAAGAAAGTGACCAAGCTTCCCTGGAATCAACCCCAGCTCTCCCACAGAAGAAGCAGGAGCCCGAGCTTGAACCAGAGTCCAGTGTGTCAGAGACACGGCCAACGGGTCAACGGCGAAGGGGCAGACGGCAGGTAATGAAAAAAAAGGTGTCAAGGGATGCAGAAGGCTACCTAGGTAAGTTCATATCCAGGTCAACGTCCTTCCGCTGCCCACTTTCAATTATTAAAAAGCTGACAAGATTACTGTTTCCCCCGCAGTCACCAAGGAGGAACCAGTATGGGAATCCTTTTCAGAAGACGAGCCCGAACCCCAGAAAAGAAAACCGCTGCCATCTTCATCTGCAAAATCGGCAAAGGGTGGTGCCAAATCCAGTCAGGGTAGTATCATGTCGTTCTTTGGTAAGAAATAGCCTGCTTCATGGGATGTTACTCTGCATGTACGAAAGGAAGGGAAACAAACCTTCTTAATCCTCTTTTATTTCTCTACTATAGAGCTTACTATAGAGCACTCAAACCGGCGACCCGTCGGGCACGTTAACATCAATCTCCTTGTGACCAAACACCTGTCATCTCGTACAGAGCATACAGGAACAGGGATAACCAAAGCAACCATATTGCATCTACTCCACCACTGTAACTCGGCTGGGGGGCGGAATACTGATCTCATCAACTCCTTCGAGCCTGCAGATCTTTGATCAAAAAAGAATATTGGAGATCACAAGACAACGCAACCAGCCTGGTCGCACATACAAACTTGCATCAAGTAGACAAAGCGCAGGGCCTGGCCTCGTCGGTGCATCAGTAAATGAAGGGCTATAACGGCTACATCATAAGAGCCGACAGTTTGGCCCCGTATGGTCGCTTTGCTATCACAGGCAGAAAAAGAAGAGACACGGCAAAGCAGCGGAAAAAGCAAAGATCAAAAGCGAGGAAGCCCCTGGCTACTTCTCCACGCCAGCTCCACCACTTCCTACTCAGTTCCAGGTATCCTCTGGGACTACAAGAGCTGTGCGCGCGCTGGGAGCAGGACCGGGATGGAGCGGTTCTGTGCGAGGATGATAAATAGCACACCCAGGGCCAAGTCGAAAAACTGTCGCCGTTCTACATCTTTGCCCCCTGAGCCTCTTGTTTCGCAGTACATCGAGCATTTCAACACGAATCCGCACCAACTGGTTAATAGTTAGTTGCTGGCAGTGATGAGGTTTCTTGAAATTGCCGTCCTTGGGGCGCTCGCCTATCGCGAAGTATCGGCTGCGGACAGCTGGGCTACTAGCCTGCATGCGCGCAAGCAGGATATAATGGAAGTTTGTCCAGATTATGTCGCATACTCGCAGACGAAACAGTACGTTTACCTCCGAGTGAACCAGTGGATAGATATCAAGTGTCGCTAACTATTGCATTTATTTAGTCCTCCGTACAGCGAGGGCCCTCTCAAGCTATCATATCAGCGACCTATACCAGAGTGCCGGACGTTCTCCTCTCCCTTGGTTGAGAAGGTGATAAAGGACATCACCTCACGCATGGTCGACAAAGATCTCGCTCGGATATTTGAAAATGCGTTCCCTAACACACTTGACACAACTGTTCGATGGCATGTCGATGGCACAGAAAAGAAAAAGCGAAGTTCGAAGACAAAGCGAGCAGGCGGCGTATGGGAAGGCCCCCAGTCGTTTATCGTCACTGGTGATATAAACGCTGAGTGGCTTCGGGATTCAACGAACCAGCTGGCGCAATACCAGAAATTGGCGAACGGAGACCCTAAAATAAAGAACTTGATACTGGGAGCTATAAATACGCAGGCCGAATTTGTTATCCAGTCGCCATACTGCAATGCCTTCCAACCTCCTCCCCCAAGTAATTTACCTCCAACAAACAATGGGCAGATGGACCAGGTTCACCCTGCATATGAGCCAAGCGTCGTTTTTGAGTGCAAATATGAGCTTGACTCTATTGCTAACTTCCTCTCTCTCGGAAACCAATTCTATGAGGAGACCAGGTCAAAGAATTTCTTGACGCCCAGGTGGTATGAAGCTCTAAACACTGTTCTACGAGTATTGGACGAGCAGAGCCAGTCTACTTTCAATGAGAACGGGCAATATCGACGCAACGAGTATACCTTCCAGCGACATACCAATGCTGGTACGGAGACCTTGAGCCTGATGGGCGTTGGCAACCCGCTAGGAAACGGTACTGGGCTTGTTCGCAGTGCTTTTCGACCAAGTGATGATACCTCCATCCTAGGATTCTTCATACCGGCTAATGCAATGATGTCTGTTGAACTAAAAAGAACAGCGGACACTCTATCCAAAGTCGGAGGAGATAAAGACCTGATTCAAAAACTCAAGCGATACTCTGAACAGATCCGGGAAGGTATCTACAACCATGCAGTGGTAACACATAAAGTCTGGGGTCAAGTGTTTGCTTTTGAGGTTGATGGCTACGGATCAAACATTCTCATGGATGATGCCAATCTCCCTTCATTACTAGCCCTGCCGCTGCTTGGGTTCGTCGATCAAAATGACGAGATCTATAAAAATACCCGAAAAATGATTCTCTCGAAAACTGGCAACCCTTACTACCTTACTGGATCAGCGTTCCATGGTATTGGTGGGCCACATAGTAAGTTATATTTTCCATGTTATCTTTTCCCAACTTCACTTCTAACCGTCTTGGTGGCAGTTGGTCTACAGAATGCCTGGCCGATGTCCGTACTCGTACGTGCTCGGACTGCAAACTCCGATGCTGAAGTTATGGAGTCCATCAATATGGTACGTGATTCGTGTCTTCTAGGTCTAGTCCACGAGAGTGTGGACGTGAATCGTATCGCCAAATACACACGCAGCTGGTTTGCGTGGGCAAACAGCGTCTTCGCGCAAACCATTCTCGACCTGGCGGAGAATAAACCACATTTGATATTTGGTAAAGGCGCAAAGCCGTACATAATTTCCTCTGACGCCCATATTTAGTGAACGAGTAATTTTCAATTACTTCAATTGCTTTACTACTGCTTTCGTTTATGTCCTCTCCTTTTTGATACCAACTTTTTCCGTTCCTGTGACACAGCATCCTATCTATTTGCTTTAAATACAGCTTATTTTAGTAATTTTATTCATTACTATAGCTAAGTAACTAAGCAGCATAATTATATCAGCGTCTTCTCCCTGCAAACCGTGATTAGTAGCTTCGCCTTCCATTCCCTCGGGGCTTCCTACGTCTCCAAGTTTCAATTCTCGACTGTGAATACTACCTGCGCGATACCAAGAATTAGATGCCTGAAAATGTATTGAAGAATTAAGACTATTTAGGATGAATTAGCTCAATGCCTCTGTATCCAGAAATCTGCACAGATATAACCATGAAACAGCTATATCCTCGCGGTCCTGGCGGTACTGATCTTTATGACGTTGGTGAAAAGCAGAATGCCGAACCTGATTGGCTGAGAAATTCAAGATCGAACTCCCGAAGCCAAAAAAAAAAAAAAAAAATAAAATAAAATAAAATAAGATAAAAATCTTTTACAACTTGAACACCACCACTTTTTAACCCAGCACCAGACAGGACAGCAACCATGGCGGAAAAGAGGCGCGCCGACTTCTTAGACATAGAATCCGATAATGAAGGAAGCGAGGCCGGCTACAACTCTGAGGACTTCGAGAAATTGAAGGGGAAGGGAACGAACAAACGCAAGCAGCCCAAGAGCACAGATCTACAATCCAAACGTCGAAGGCTTTCAGACGATGAATCCGACGGCGGTGATAACCAGGATGAATCTGGTATACTGGATCTTGAATCTGCCATTGACGATATAACTCAACCTAGTAAAAACGGAGAGACATCGAGTCGAGTTTCAGCCGACCCAGCGACTCCAGGCGAATCCGCTACCCAAAAACTTACACCTTCAAGTAAAGCGACCAAGAAGAGCCGAAAAAATAAAACAGGTGTCATCTATATGTCCTCCCTGCCGCCGTATTTAAAGCCGTCTGCCTTAAAATCCATGTTGGTGGCACGCGGTTTTGGCCCTATCACGAAGATCTTTTTATCGCCATATGTCCCTCCAACCAGCGCTTCCAGAGCTGCCATAAAAGCAAGTCGGAATAAAAGACGGATGTACACTGACGGATGGGTCGAATTCGAATCAAAGAAGACTGCAAAGATATGCGCGGAGACCCTTAACGCCTCGATTGTCGGCGGTAAAAAGGGCGGCTGGTACCATGATGACGTTTGGAATATGAAATATTTACGAGGCTTCAAATGGACAGATCTCATGGAACAAGTGCAGAGAGAGAAGCGAGAAGCAGAGGCCAGACGACGTATTGAGGATACCAAGGCCAGAAAAGAAGAGAAATCGTTTTTGCAGAGACTGGAACAAGGGAAGATGGTGGAGGGTATAAAAAAGAAAAGAGAAGCTAGGGAGCAACAAGCAGGTGGTAATGAAGAGCCAGCGGATAAGAAGATGGAGATTAGGAGGGTTTTCAGACAAAATGAAGTCAGAGGGAACAGTGGTGGTTCTGCTGGTGCTTCTGGCAGCTTAAAGAAGGTTGACCCGGATACGCAGAGGGTCTTGTCGAAAATCTTCTAATCGCAAGCTTTGATACGACTATAATCTGCTCTCAGCCCAGGAACAGCGCCTTTTCTAAGGCCACCTCTATCCAAGCATCTCCCATGCGGCCTATCGGTGATATTTCGCCCAAGTCCAATAGATTCACGAATTGGACGACCTACGCAGCTATCTCAGCAGTTAACAGTGGCCTAGTATACAAGGTCGTATTGTTTGGTCCGCTTGTGATACCCAAAGAATGCTTCTCTCTAAGATGAAATATGCTCCTGTAAACTGCGTGCAAAGATGAATATCCTGCTGGCTTTTTGATATCAAACCCTCATACTTGTCCTTCGCCAGCATTTGATATACATAGAATTGTGTACGATTATAGGAAAGTGAAGAAGGGTTGCCTAGTGTGCGAATTCTATATTTGCATTCTAGTTGCCTCTGTTTATCTGGGTTCTTGAGTTTGTCCCGATGTTGAAATTTATCCACACGGACAGGAAACCCGCAAGAAGTGTACGGCAATGTATATTTCATGTTGTTAGCAGGCAATGTTGCCTAAACGAAATTTTATTCTTTTTGTTAAATCACATGTAACAATAACCCAACGCCGCTATGTGCTCTTATGAAGGAGAAAAATACCAACCCATAGAATCTTCGACCACATGCCCACTGTGAGCATGAGAGCGGGCAAGGAATATTATGGAATAAAAAGAAGTAAACAGTGCATGAGCTGCTCAGTCATTAACTCGTCGTGGTGCGCCCATGCTATATGCCCTTTTTGTATGAAATCATGCTGATGTACCTTTCCCTTACTCGTCTACGTGCAGCTCTTCGAAATCTTCTAATAGTTCGTCCACATTGATCTCAGGAACCTCATCATCATCTTCCTCCTCCTCCTCCTCTTCTACCATTTCCATAGCATCGGCTTCCACGTTCTTCGGTTTCTGGTTATGTTTTGCTTTATATAATGCCAATGTGCTGCGTAGCTCAGCATCCTCTTCAACATCGCGCAAGAACATTTCAAAGTCATCTTCCAGTCTGTTGTTGTTGTTCTGTTTCTTCGAAGGTCGTTCATCTTCCTCTTCTCTATCCAAGCGCTTGAGGCGCCAGTTGCGCTTCTTGTTCTTCCTCTTCCTTGGGTAATGCTTCTTGACTAATATAACATCAGGAATTGTTGAGCCGTATGTATGGCTGGCTTCTATCTCTTCGAAATTGGCGTTGTTAAAGTTGGTTCCAGTCAGGTGGTAGCCCATGACGGTATCTCCAGGATGGAGAATACCGCCCAGATGTGTTCGAGCAAAGTAAGTTGTGTCATTCACTCCCAAATCAGAAGATCTAGCGACAGTTGCTTCGGCAAGGTGGTACCGGCCGCTGGATTGGCCAATTGCTTCTATATCCATGACAACATACTCGACGAGCTCTTGGATATCCGCCAGGTTTGCAAACGGGGACCTCCAGTAAATGGCAGAAGGAATATCCGCTGTCTGAAGTGTTGCAGGGTCAAGCACATTGATAGATGTGCCAACTCTGTAGCAAAGAGTGAGTGGGGATATATTCCCAAGAGATCGAGCAAGCTTTATAGGCAGTGCAACAAGATCGTCCTTGCATATTGGTATTAGTTCGGCAGAGAATGTAATCTTATAGGACTTTGAAGAGGTATGGACATCCATGGAAATCAATTGCTGCGACTTCTTCACTCTTATCGGAGCGACGGATGCTAAAAAATCAACCATCTTTTCTGCATGATTCCTAGCGGAAAAGTAGAAGTCCAATCCGTCCTTCACTTCCTTTATATTTATCGTATCCTTGTGAGCTCCATGCTTAAGGATGAGCTGTTCGAGGTAGAGAAAAGTGCGCTTATGAGGAACTTTTTGCCTGACTTGGACAGATGCTCGCCATGTATTGACGGTGTATGATTTGGCACATTCGGGGCATTGCTGGGAAGCAACGACATATTCGACTTCGAACGCTTGCTGTAGTATTGTGCCTTGGAATGCTTCCTGTTGAATGGTAATTTTCACCTTAAGTCGTTTCGAGTGTGGTTCGGTCCAAATAAATCCAGCATCTATGATGCGGACCTTCGCAAGACCCCTGAGCTTTCGCAGGCACAGCGCAAGTAGCTCGCGAGACTCTAGGGCTGCGCTAATCCACTGGGCCGGAGGTTGCAGCCAGCGCTCACAATCTTTGCAGCAATGCAGGGTTGCTTCACGCTGAACGCCTTCTGAAATGTCGATCGTAAGTTTAACGCAATCTTCACATAGTGCGCCAGCGGCAGTTGTTCCATCTATAGGGGCGCCGCAGTTGCAGCAGAGGATCCTGTAAAAAAAAGCCCTTATCAGCGATAAGAAATTTATTTCATGGGTGGGGGAGACGTACGTTGCAGCTTGCTGTTGAGGATGGAACTCGACCGGTTGCATGGACACCGGGGCATCCAGATCCATCGACATGGTGACAGCTGTACACAATAAATATCCTGAATGCTTAGAAGAGAAGAATAAAACCAAAGAAAAAGCTGGATATAAGAAGAAAAGAAGAAGCGTCGATTCGGGAGCAACAAAAGTCGAATTAATAAAACAATTCGACGAAAAATAAGAATTCCTTAAGTGGGGATTGTTTGTCTTGTTTGTTTAATATTAGTCATAAAATATTACTAAGACATTATTAGTATATCACGTGCACAAAGCTTAACTAAAACTTTCGATTACCAAAAAATAAAAACTAAAAATATCGAGTTGGAGCGAAGAATCAAATAATAGAGACGAAAAGATCCGTGATTTGGTTAAGTGGTTCATTTGCAAGTCAAGAGGATGAGTGGAATAGCTTTGCAGGGCTTCAGGTGCCATGCTTGTCGAAATGCTGCATTCCGCTCCTTTGCTGCCATAAGTGGCCTCTCGAGCTCTACACGGCGACCCCAATCCTCTATATCCTACCCTGGCTCAAAGCTCTATCAGAGACACGTACGAACAACAGGAAGGCGACAATTCTCTGCCCTTGGCTCCGTGAAATCCCAGGCGGATAGCGATATACCTACAAAAACTGAAACAAAGGAGGACGCAAGCGCAGAATCGTCACATATCCCGTGGTATCTACAGGACGAATCCCATAAGCCGAGTTCGCATCCTCTTAAGCAGCAGGAGTTGCCCCCTCTCCCCGAGAACCCGCCCCCTATATTAGAGAACCTTCTACAATATATCTCGGTCGATGCCGGGCTCGACGACCTTGCCCTCCTCGACCTTCGAGGTCTTGATCCTCCTCCAGCTCTCGGCGCAAATCTTATTATGATAATTGGGACAGCCCGAAGCGTTAAGCATCTTAACGTTTCTGGCGATCGATTATGCAGGTGGCTACGGAGCAATTACCAGTTGAGGCCAATTGCTGATGGGCTCCTGGGAAGAAACGAACTTAAAATAAAACTACGACGAAGGGCGAGAAAGGCCAAAGCAACGGGTGATGCCAGCTCCTTAAACTCCCGAGATGATGGTATAACAACCGGATGGATATGTGTTAATGTTGGGGACGTGGAAAATGGCCCATTGAAGACCAAAAATTCACAGAATCGGAATTTTATCGGATTCGGGGGCACGGAGGACAAAGTTCGGATCGTTGTGCAAATGCTTGTTGAAGAGAAGAGATCCGAACTTCAGCTCGAAGCTCTATGGGGGAATCTTCTTAACCCGGAGGCTGGAGAAATCAACCCTGCCCCTCGTGACGATGTCTGGGGCGATTTATCTTCAGAGACCACTAGCTCCGTAAAGGGTGTCGACAGTATTGCATCTACTTTCAGCCAGCGGTTCCCCGGAAGGAGGTATATACATACCCAAGCCCGACCCAACACCCCTGAGCCACTATCTCATGAAACTCTCGATGATATTGTTCAGGAGTCCAGGCCTGCCCTGCCATCAAAAATAGTAAGCACATCTATGGCATCCCCAAGTGTCTCTTCTCTATTGGAACAGTTATCCCAGTTGCCAGAGGAAGAAGCTCGTCGAGAACTTGGGCTTGGACCCGGCGACAGAGATTCAACCCTTTTCTTAAGGCTGTTTTACGAGGCAGTGTCGAAATCTGACACAGAAACAGTACTTTTAGATAAACTGTCGTTCGCCCGAGCTGCTGTGCTGCTAAAGCACCCCGCGTATAGTAAAACAGACCTGTACCGGGCATTTAAAAGTATGGCTGCTTTTGGGTGCGACATCTCGGAGGAGCTTGCGATGGACACAGTTCGTACGCTATTATCGTTCCAAGGTCCCGAAAATGCGACCAATGAACGTGTCCCTGAACAAGACATCGACCTAGCATTAAGAGTTTTGGAACATATGAGTCTTCGTGGAATCAAGATCTTCAACGGTGAAGTATTTTTTCTGCTTCACAAAGCATCGGCGCTTCAATCTCACGTACTTCCAGCCAACGACACCCCTCGTGCAACGAATGCCCCTGCCGACCCAGATTCTATTTCAAAAGTACCGGTGGAAGAATTGGACCATATCACGATTGTGCACAACCGATTGAGCAAATTAATGGCATCTGCCAATGTTGACTTTAACTACAAGGACTATCCAGAATTACTCAAGATGTATTTTGAACATGGAAATTACAGCAATTTTTGGCGCCTATGGCATCGAATACCCCTCATGCAAATACCACGGACAAAGGAGCTTTACCTACTCATGTTCCGCCTGCATGCTAAACTGGGGAATCAACGTCAAGCTGTCGATTGCCTCTCGTCTTGGGTACCTATGATGGCCCGGGAACAACCGCCCGTTGCCCTCGACGAGGAACTAACGAGAGCCATCATGGCCTGTATGTTAGTGGCAGATCCCGCTATAGACCAAAAGACAGACGATGGCACTGTGAGCCAGTTCACTCGGCTGTGGAAACAATGCTTGCGTGACCTTGAGTCTTTCAAAGCTGCGAATTCTCAATAATTACGGAGTACAGTCTTCGCATAATATGTCACCACAAGTTACTGTACTATCACCTACTTTTTTAGCCCGTTGAATATGCTGCTGGATTGGATTTCAGCTGGGCGTTGATTGTATAACTATGTATCATTAATTATATCTTCCTGTACTATCTAGAATAAATCATGAACTAACATCTATGTATATCAGCTTGTTAACCAATATTCGCTCTTGTCTCGTCGGTAAGATGAAGCTCATGAGGCTCAAGTTTGGACCTCGGCATCTTTTGCTCCAGCCAAACTCAAATCTTCATCTCCATGTTTTTAGCGCTTTCGACCTTCATCTATCAACACTACCAATTCCCAAGGCCAAACAAGCTCTCCATTGAAGGAAGGCCGTTGAACTGTCAAGATGGAGTATATGTCATCATTACAGAACAATTTTGATGACTTTAAACCATCTTTATTTGGTATTTTCGCGGCCTAAACCGGCGAGATAGCCCCTAGCTAACCGTATTGAACAGAACTCCTATCTGAACAACAGCTCTCGTCCCTTCTCCCCCCTTCACTCCGTTACCTCCTTGCGGTAGCTACTCACAGACATCCCCGCTATCTTCTTCGGATACTAAACTCCTACGATGAACTATACGCCCTAGTGTCGCTTCTTGTCGAAGGGTATTACCTGCGAAACTTCAGTGGCTCGTTTACGGAGAACTTCTACTCTTTAAAACGGGAGCGCGTTCTAGCATTGAGAGATGGAGAGGTACCCCGAGCTCAACTTGGAGCAGGAGGGCCTGTTCGAGAGACACTAAAATTGCGCGACTCGGATATATGGCGAAATCTGGTGGTTATGGTCGGCATTCCGTATTTAAAACGCAAACTTGACGAGGGATATGATATCCATGCTGCTCCGCATGCAGCCCTTGTCTCAGGAATGGGAGGAGGTCCTCGATACCATCCATCAGATGAGCTGCCTCATAACCCAACAGTGAAGCAACGATTATTATTCTATTACAAATGGTTTTTGCGGAACGTTTACCCTTCGATAAATGGGGCCTACTACTTTTCAATACTGGCTTTCAATTTAGCCTACCTTTTTGATAACACCAAGTATTCGTCTCCATTCTTATGGCTGATAGGAACGAGAATCAGGCGATTGAGTCCAGCAGATCACAAAGCGATTGCAATGGCAACGGCAGCCAACACACCCCATACAGGCGCGTCGAGATCACGATCACGGCCGAGTGCTTTAAGCCTTTTAAATCCCCAAGCCATATACCCTCATTTACTAGGGTCCCTTAAAATTCTCTTGCCAGCGTCAATTTTCGCTCTAAAATTCCTCGAATGGTGGCATGCAAGCGACTTTTCGAGGCAACTTGCCAAACAAGCTACCCAGTCCATTGAACTTCCCGCTCCAGTGGTAACTGGAATACCGTCAAAATCCACTGCAACAGATGTTAAAAGTGAGAAGTCGACATTGGCGGAGGCAGATAGACCGAAACAATGTCGTACAAAGTCTCCAATATCGTCTATAACTCTACTGCCAATCTTTACTGTCCCAATACCCCCGGTTGATCCGGACACCTCTCAGACGCCATGTCCAATATGTCTTAATGCGCTTGTTAATCCTACTGCTTGTCAGACCGGCTATGTTTACTGCTATACCTGTATATTCAGATGGCTGAATGGTGAACATGACCGCCAAATCGAGTTTATGAACGGAGCCGGTAATGGTGCTGCATGGGAAGACGATGATAAAGATGACGAAAATGAAAAGGGTGGGAAAGATTCAACCAGTAGGGAAGGGAGATGGGAAAATGGGAAAGGGCGATGTCCAATTACCGGCCGAAGAGTTCTAGGAGGAACAGATGGACTGAGGAGGGTTCTTGTATAAATATTTTAATACATTACGCATCATCATTACATCTAAATCAATAATGCTGTCTTTCCGCGGCCTATTAAATACTCATATTCGGAAGTCAACTCGAAATTATAGATCCAACGATACTAGGTAAGTTTCTATGCAATATGTATGAGTTTATATACACAGTAGTTAGACAAAATGCCTGTATATAGATGTAGACAAGAGAAAACACAAAAGAAGGCATCATAGCTTGCTGCTATTCAGCAAGAAGAGAATCAAAATCTACTCCAGAAGAGGGAAATGCATGCCAATAAACGCCACACTCAAACATGCCTTTAATCATAAACCAAAGATTGGAAGTAGGGAAAATCTAAAAGGATGGAAGAGGTATCAAGGCCGATGTTCAATGGCTTATTAGATGGAAATAGGGCCATGGCTATATACCAAGCCACCATTTTCCTCTCTCATAGACGAAGAAACTCGTAGCCACCATTGGTATGACTTTCATGTAGCCGATTGTCAAACCAACAAAGAAACCTTTGAATCCACGTTCAAGGAATATCTTCTGAGCCGTCTCTCGTATACCAAGAACATGTCCATCACCAACTGCACCTCCAACTTGCATTCGTCGTCGGATAACCTCCAATGGATATGAGGATGTTTGGGATATGAGTCCTGCAACAGCGCCAGAGAACAGTTCAGCGGTGGCTGTTAACTGTGGTCTATGAGACCGCGTTTGTTCCTGGCCTTGCGGCGTATGTTTGCCGGAGTGTGGGATGGTGGTGTATTTCTCTATACTGGGATGACGAAGCCAATCACCAACAGTGTCGTGTGTAAGGAAAGACATGCCTGCGTACGGCAACATCCCGAGCATTGTGGGAGAGAATCCGCGGTAAAAGTTCACAAGTCCATATCGAGGCTTGACCTTCTCCACAACAGCAGCCGCAGTAGATGCAGAAGCAGCTCCATCAGCGGAACTAGCAACGATGCTTCCTTCACTATAAATTTGGCTGAAGATATTTCGCAATGATGACTTGGATCCTTGCTTTGTTTCGAATGCCAGCCGCACTCTAATAAGTTCTAACGGATATGTGAAAAATACGGATGTGATGCCGGCTAAACTACCGCTAATCAGCCGGCGAAAGGGAGTTTCGTGTTTTTTGGAGGGTATTACGACAGCACGGATCTGTTCGTATGCTATGAATTTAATAGCAGCGTAGGGAAATATTCGAAGTAAAGTAGCTGAATGACCTCTGAATAGGCCACGAACACCTTCAGTGTTATTAATGGTTTTCATGGCTGAAGCTACGCCGAACCAACTGTTCGAATATTTTGCGAATTGAGGGTTTGATGTCTGAAAAAGGATTTTGACCCGATCCAAAGGTCCAACGATCGTTTTTGCCTGTGTTATAGAAATCACATTATTAGAACTTTGCGACTGATGCGAGAAATAAGAATGCTATACTCACAGCACATCCTGCCAACCCACCAGCCAAACCACTCCGGACTAGGTAGTCCCAACTCCTCTTGTCTACCGGTTTGACCGCGACCGTGGTAGAACTCGTCATGGCCATTTGTTTGCCTGTTGCTGGGTCTGAATGTATCCCGCGACTCGACGTAAGAAGATCATGTTCTCTCTCAGCGCCTGTCGAGCGAGAGCTGCTTGTCGTTGTCGCTAGAGGGCTATGTGCCATCATCTTCTGGATACCGGGGTAGCCTGCCCGTGGCACCCCTTCCCACGCTCACTCCGCGCTCTTCGACAAAAATACAATGCGGGACGCTAGTTAGTTAAAGAAAGAATTTAAAAGAGTCTCCGGCGGACATCATATAGACTGGTAAACATAGAGTGACTGATATCGAGAAGACAGAGGAATAAATCAGGGCCACTGTCGTATAAACGGAAGAGGAAAGAAACGGAGCACTGCCTGGGAAGAAAGCGCGGACGGTTATTCTATTGTGTCCGTTCGTAACGTCATGAGTTTCTTTTCGTTTCGCTTTCTCTATTTCTCTCTCCTGGGATTGGCGGGTGCTTGCGGCGCAAGGGCCGTGGCACGTGAGCGGCTGTCCGGATACGGTTTAGCGTCGCTGAGAAACTCCCGACGAGCCGCGGTAAAGAGTCACGTGTGTAAAACATGGTCGGAAGTCGGTGCCGAAAAGCCGAAGCCCCTTGATATTTGAATTCCATGGAATGGGATTGATCAAAAAGAAAGCAGCAAAAGTACAAGAATTCTATTGTTAACAGGCAGACGCCAACTGATATTCCGCCAGATCAGTTCTGATAGATACACCTGACTACTCCTACCAGGATAGACAATATACACGGTAATATTCTTCCAATATAAGAGACGAGAGGGAAAAACAGTGCGTGCTCCGGCCCACACCAAAATGTCGCTAAGTGCAGTCAGTCCCAGGAACAAAAAGAACAGAAAGCAATATATATATCTCTTTTTGCAAGCCACCCTCGCCAATAGATATGTCGTAAGTCGTTAAATCCCCGTGGTTGTGAAAGTCTAGTGATGCAAAATAAAGATAATATCCAAATGAAACAATGCTCCAGTTAAGAGACGTGTTATGGGCGATGATGGTCGAAATAAAAAGTGACGGTATGGGTGGGGATAGATGAATAGAGAAAAGAAGTTTTGGGAGAGATGGTTTATCTCGTGCCCTGTCGACCAAGAGGCCTGCCCTGGCGATTAGTCATTCTGGTTTCCTTTGCGGATTCGGCAGCGGCAGCTTTCTTAGCGCGTTTCGTCGGCCGCGCTGATTCAACATGCAAATGACCGATTTCCTTCAAAGCTGTCAGATTTCGCCATTTGAGACATCCACGTTTCTGATATGTGGCCTGCCCCTTAGTTCGTGTTGACATGCGCATGGCCGGTTGATCGCTTGACTCTTCTGCAGGGGCATTTTTCTCCGCGAGGTAAGCCGTTCGGTTTTCCATATATTTCGCAATATGGTTGCGCTGAAGCTTTAATTCCTTGTGAAGTTTAAGCTCCCTCACACCGCGGGTATCGAGCCATTCCATCAGTTTATCCAGGTCTTCGGGGGTATCGTAGTAACCCCATTCTTGAGCAGAAGAAACACCGGAAGATCCTTCCTCAGCCTGTTTCCGTTTCGCAACGGTTGTTCCGAAACGCTGCTTGTATTCTTGGCTCACTTGTTCGGGAACGTCGATAAAGCCTTCCCGCTCCATTTCGTCGGGACCTTGTACCCAGAGACGACCATTGGCATAGTTTGCTGAGGCAGTAGAGCTGTCAGGCAAACCCTCGTAGGGCATCCCATTTCTCTCAAACCAATAATAGCGATTCCAGAAGCGGTCTTTGCCCAAGACCCTGGTCCGTGGGCAATCTGCTTCTCTCAGGTCGTTATCTAGGACTGCAATTTCACTTTCAATGGAAGCAACCTTGCTCTTTTCATCCTCCATTTTCTTTAGGACTCGCTGGTACTGCTTTGAGCCTTTCGGTTGCTTGGTAGCCTGTTCTTTTCGTTCTTTTTCAGCTTCCTGTTTCCGCTTACGTTCCATGGTTCTGTCAACTCCTCCTCTCAGAGAGGGACCAGTAGGCTCATCCGAATCTGTCGCAGCGCTTTCAGTGTCGTCTGTAGCGTCAATCTGGGCATCCAGCATTTCCTCATCCTGCTGAGTTGGAGTATCCCGCTGCTCAGGCTCAAGTTGCTTTCGCTCTTCATGGAGAAGCCTAATTTCTTCAAGGCTGTTCATTATTGGCATCATTAGCAATGTTCTGGTTATACGTGAATTAAAGGATCACTTACACAACTTTTCGAGCTCGTTGAAGTTCGATTTTTTCCTTGCGGAATTCGGTCATCTGGTTACTGCATTCCTCCATATAATTTTTCACCGCTCTTGTTTCAACAGTCAGCATACAAATTATCTGCAGAATCTGAATGCGGAGGTTGACGTCCAGAGTCGAATATTGGATTCGGGCTGTTTCTTGAGTTGGATCTGCGTCCAAAGGTGCCATATGAACTAATATCTCCTCGCAAGCCTCCTTAAGCCTGGGTTTTAAGGATAACCGGTTTAGCAAACCAACAAGGATCATTTCCCAGCCGCCATTTTTGAAGTCTCTTTTTCGCAAGCGATCGATCCAGTCGTATTCCAAAAACATATCAGCCGCACAATGTTTTTTGACTTCCGCAGCTTCTGTTTCAGGAGGTTTCTGCTGTTCCATTTCAGCAAGTTCTGCTTGCGCCTTTGCAAAGCTGCTTCTAGTAGTTCGTCTTGGGGGTTCCGGCTCCGGCTCCGGCTCCGGCTCGCTTTCTTCTTCCTCCGCTTCAGATTCTTCTTCTGGTAGAGCTGGAAGGGAGATTTGAACGGCTCCATCTTGATCTGATTCAGCATTGACCAGCGTCTTCAGCACGGCGCAATGAATCTCTACTAGTAGCTCACAATCCATGTCATCCGAGGAAAATTGAATTGCCTCCACGAAATCATCAAAGGTAAAGGAGTCCAGCTGGAAAACTTCACAATAGACATTCAAAGTGTTCCAGGTTTCGAGTAGAGCTCCAATAGAACTCATCTTTATGCTGGATCCCTCCTCACGGGCCTCATCTTCATTCAAGAATTTCAAAGCTGGCCGAGGTGGACGATCACTTGTGGGCGGTAGGTCTAAATCCTCAATGGGGTATTTAATTGGCGGCGGTAATGGACTGGGAGATTTCTGTTTGATGACAATTGAGAGGTCGTTGAAAGAGTTCTCGTGGGGGTCAGGAGGTGGGATAACATCCTTGTTGACGCCCTTTTTGTCTACCCTGAAAGATGGATTGCCATTAAGAGCTCGTCGGTACGCTAAGTACTGTTCTTCCTTAGCCTTGGCGAGTTCGTGGGCTGACTTTGCCTTTTGGCCCTTATTTCTTGAATTTATCGGCCGACTCTGGGAAGCAAAAAAGCCAAACATGGCCTCATCTTCTTCCTTTTCGGCGGATACATTGGCTTTTTTGCCAGCTTTGTTGCCATACTGCAGGTGTTTGGGAACTTCGGTGTCGATATGGAAATGTTCCGCAATTTGAGGCTTGACTAACCAGGGGGCGCCGCTCCATGACTCTCGTGTGACCGTATTCTTGATGAAGGAACGTAACATCTGTTTAGTGAATACTTTCCTGTCACGGACAAGGTGTTCATCATCAACAAGGGCCTCTTCGTTATTGCGATTTGTGAGTTTGACCAGGTAGCGCGAGCTTGCACGGCGCTCAACCCTGCCTTCATGCATAACCTCAGGAAACTTTGCCTTCTCCCTGACTATTCCATGTATTCGCGACCCGTTGGATAGAAGAACTGTTACGCGCTCTCCAGGATAGAAATCTTGCTTGAAGTCCTACTAAATGTCAGTTGCTATCATGGAGACAGGATACAAAATCACTAACCTCGAATACCTGATCCACTATGTAACGAAAACTGATTAGCAAATAATAACTCATAGATCAGGAATACAAGGAAATACACACCAAGACTATCTATGCGCGAGATGGTAGAGAATTGAACCCTGCGCAATACAGGCTCCTTTAAGGATTCTGGGAATGCACTGTTGACTTCTCTTGATCCTTCGGTCTGCGAAAAAGTATTCGATAAGCTGGCTGTACCCCGCAATTTTTTGTCCCTGGCCGAGGGATTCCCCCATACCTCGCTCGTCAGTGCCTCGAAGAATGTCAGGGAAGAGTGGCCAGTGATTTCGCAAATGAATCGCCTCTGAATTTGAATTTAGCGGAAGGTCAAACGGTCGTGAAGCTAAAATGAATTGAAATAGATATTACCTGTTTATAGAAGTTCATTCTAAATATCGAGTTTATTAGCAAACCATTCTTTTGAAATAGGTAAAGATAGTGGCAGCATAAAGTACTCACCGCTGCAGGAAGTGATCATAGTTGGTAAACACTTCATTCGTTTCCGGGATAACCCAGACCTATACACCTGTTAATATGCGTCCAGGTCCACAGCACAAGGAACAGCAGTGTATAGGGAAGTTGCGTACCTCGGAGTTATCATCGTCAATTGTGGGTTTGGGTAGGTATTGCACCGGCTTCCGCTTAAACAGTACCTAGAGTAAGTCCATTAGTTATATTCATAATGGGGAAAAAAAAAGGTACTATGAATATAGGCTTGGCCTAGGACATACCATCTTCAGCTTCAGATACCAGAATATATTGGGAAAAGGTTCAAAAAGCGACAACACATGCGATCAAGAACACACAACCCCTTCCAAAGACCGGAGCAAGCTCAGAAACGCGAAAAGCGGGTAGTAACCAATCATGTGCAAAATCCTAGAAGCTTTGCGAATAGCAGGGCGTGTACGTGGTTTGTCCTGTAAAAAGGTAAGGAGAGGAGGTAACTGTGTCAAGAAAGCAGCAGGATATCCGCTTATTATCTTGTGGTGATATTCTGGCGCAAGTCAGTGAGTTATAAAGTCCATATTGAATTGGTGACAGCTTCGGCCCGGGCAAAGAGTGAATTCAAGAAAGTCTAGCCTAGGCACGGATATCTCAACGCGTATAAAACCGGCTCTAGGCAGACTTGAGAAGGAAAATGGCTTCTGCTCACGGTAGAATTAGGTGGTGGACGCGTCGTTCCTGACGCCTTGCATGCCCTGGATGTCCGCCAAAAAGGAAAAAAAAGGTAAATGCCTCTTGATAGCTGATCTATAGCAGTTGGTATGCCGGAGAGAGAGGGAAAAAGACTGGACGGTACGCGCGAAGGGTGCTGTCCTGGTCGGCGGCGGCGGTGGTCTTCGTTGAGGTTGAGGTTGAGGTTGAGGTTGCGTAGTTGTAAGAAGAAAGAAGACGAAGAGAGAAAAAAAAAAAAAAAAAAAGCGGCAGAAAAAGCGAAGGAGGGAAAAGGGAAGGCGGCGGAGGGAAACCTTAGCCTGGTCAGTGCGGGAACTTCCTCTTAGTTATTATTTAGTTCAGTTAGCTCGCTCCAGCACCGCGAGGAGCGCCAGCGACGGGCAGGCGACGCAGCGACGGGGCCCTACACGGCGTGCTCATTGCCGGCGGTAGACGTGGTAGAGGCAGGATGGAGCTGTTGAGACAGCTGTGGGAGCTTGTCGAGGTGCGCTCCTGATCGACGGCTCCTGGTTTCAGCGGAGCTCAGAGGCCCGGGGACTGACGACAGAAGGGGGGGGGGGGGGGTCCCTGGCGGCAGATGGACAGGCAAGACGCTCCGGAAGGGGACAAGAAGATGCAGAGAGACGATGCTGGGCATGCATGATGCCGACGAGGCGGTTCAATGGCAGCCGAAGTGGTTTTTGTTACTGCTTTCATGCAGAGATACCGTCGAGTCTTCACGATCTATACCGAGTGTATTACTCGGGTGTTATTTATAGCCAACCACGCCCTGATATCAACATCTAGACATAGACACTCAGCTCGCGGCACCCTGCCATCCAGCTGTCTCTACTATATCGGTCCTTCATTAGCTTATGTACAGCTACGGCTACAGCTATGCACTATCTGATCTGCCCATCCTTTGGTTATGGGTTGTAGTTGGTGAACATGCAGACTTGGCGTCTGAAGCCGAAAAGCCTACTTCATCGGCTTAATGAGGAAAAGAAGGAGGAGGGCCACAGAGTGATGCATGCATGTAGACCCTCCTCTCGCCACCGGAACGGCGCATAATGAGTAGCTACGTTTTCCGGCAGCATGGTGATGGCGATGGGGCCTTTCTCCCTCGCCTTGCGCCGTTTTTGCCTCCTGCGGGTTTGCCGAGATCTCTGCCTAGGGGGGGATTAGGGCCTGCCCTCAGCTACTTTCCCCCGTCCACCCGCCCCCAGCCTCCAGAACCACCCCGTATAACCACTCATTCTGCTCGGAAGATTCCACACAATCAGGGTATGTTAATTCCTTTTTCTATTTCATTCTTAAAGGTGAGTTAATTTAGTAAAGGCAATTATACCCCTACAGCACTTAGGCTCCCCTTTCGGGAACAGCATAGTGTGGATTATATCCGCACTGGTTGCTTAATTCTCTAGATTAGATATCTCTATCGGTTTACTTTTTGTGGATATTGGCTGCCTAAGTAGTGAAATAGACTACCATGAACCCTGCCCAGCTCCCCAGGACGCCCACAGCAGCATATGCACTGGTAAACATTAGCGGAAGGAACTCATATCGCTTTCCAAACACTATTCCATGTACCAGTGAGCAATAGACAATCAGAGGTATCGATACAGTGTCGTAGAGCAGCGAAAATCGATCAAGTAAGAATACACGAGGTCTCAACGGGGCGGGTGCTAGGCGACCAAAGACGAAAAGAAACAGCACCAGCCAGAAGATGGTGTAGACGGTTTTGACAGGGAACTCGGCAGCGGTGAATAAAAGTGGGAACAGGGAGACGTGGCCAGCCACTGCGAGTGGACGGAAGGCTCCTAGGTATCGCCGGTCCTTGAGAGCCAGCAGGCTAAACGGGATGATGATCAGAAGAACGGCCTTCTCATGGACGTGCCAACCAAAGAGAAAGGCTGCAAATGCACAGTTGGTCACTGCCCCCACAAAGGTGTCCCAGTCAGGTTGGAACCACAACTTCACAAGGCATAGCTGGATGTAGTTAGTCTCGTAGTCCTCTTTCGTAGTTATATATGTTAAGTTGGCCCACGGGTGTGGTAAACTCACAGCTTGGAATACAAAAGTCAGCCCAAAGGTATACTCTTTTGTAATCTCTGGAAGGACAGCGAAGGCAGTGTCTCCAACTAGCCCTCTGGTCACGCTGGCCAAAGCACTAGTCTTGACAGGTAAGCCCAGTCTAGGCGCAACTACGGTCTGTTAGTAATGGGGGAATGGTTGGGGTAACAAGATTAAACAGTCATACCAAGTATCAGTACTCGATCTAGAAAAGAGTACATTGCCCAGATATTCGGTGCCCAATAGGCATGGCATAGGCCTCTTGAAAACGGGAAAAGCCTGTCCTTGAGTTGCAAAAGCTGACCCCATTTTGCAAACGGTCCAAATGCTGCAGCAAAAACGCCCACAACCCCCACTCCAAGCTTCGCGATGTTGCCAAATTGAGGCCTGAACATGGAGCTTGGGTGGAGGCAATAGGCTCGCAGGAGAAAAACAAACCATGCCAGCGATAGGTAAAGGTATATGTGCTTAAAACAGAGCAGAATAGCGAAGGTAATGCCACTGTATAACAAGGTTGACTGCCTTCGTGCCAGGACAATTGAAAGAATAAGAATCCCATACAAGAACCCGTTGTACTGGAAATGAACATGGTCAATGATCAGCAGGCCAGGAGAGAGTAGAATTGACAAGCTGGCGGCATGGGCCAGTTCCTTAGCCGCTTGGTTCGGTGCAGACTTGATATATCTTCACCTCGACAGCAAAGTAATCCCGGTCAGCGACACTTCATAAGCAGATATTAATAAAATTCGAATTCTCACCTATTCAAGGCATAAACAAGCATCAACTCAAGAATAATAACTGAGCCCCGCTGGAAGTACACCGTTTGCCAGGAGTCATAGTTTTGGTTCTGCACCTTGAGCATATCCGGGTCCATAAATGCAGCAATCTGGGATAGACACCATTCTAGCCCAGCAAAGAACGGAGGATAATCCAGGGTCCATTCTGATGTTTTCTATACATGATTGCCTTTCATTAGCAAGACTGCTTTGAACCTGGCTGTCGGCTTACATACCTCATAGTACCATTCCTTGACCGGGAGAGAATGAGTGATCGCAAGCCAGTTGCGATGAACTTCAAAGTCGGTAGATTTGCTTTCAACCCAGCTTGTCAGCATCATTCCATTTTCTGCTTCTGCGCTTCTCATGTGGCAGCGAATGCACTGAACTGGGGGATAAAATGCGACATACTACGCTGGGAACAAGAGGATCTTGAACGCAGCAGCCACAAGGGCGCATTGAGTCAGCGAAGGATAGTAGTCAGCCATGGTCAGCTAGTCATGGCTAACCCGTCTTCTTTGGCTCACACTGGTTCTGCAGCCAGGCGACGAGATGGATTCTGTTGATATCCGGTGGTGATGGTTGGCGTTGGGCTTTTTATGTTGATTTTCAGTGTTGAAGTCGGAACTAAATAACTAAAATATTCTACAAGCGCGACCCCTTTTTCCCCGTCAGCGGCCGACTTCCTTTCATACTGCTGTACGACACGATAAGATACACCAATGCTCATCATCACCTGTCACCCATCAGTATCTCTTATATACTTATACACTGCAACTTCTACAGCGAAAGGCAGCTATGAGGGAGAAGGGTTAGCGAAGAGATGGGCGATAAATTGCCTATCTTGGCTTGTTTGCGTGGTTTGCACCGCGGCAGCGCCAAAAAGGACAAGCTGGCTCGACAAATAAACAACAAACGGCGCCGGCGATGCTTCAACGGGAGGCCAAAGACGCAGAAGAACAGAAGAACGAGCAATTCCTTTGTTTTCTTTTATTCTTTTGACTTATAGACAGCTCTCGGCGGCTGAGACGGTTCTGTGAGGCGATTGGGGCCGTCAGCTCTTTTACACCGTTCTAGATTGACTAGTTACCCGCGGGGAAAGGCTTCATTAGTTCCTACCACGAGCTTCGACAGGCACAAGGGCAAACAAGCTGCCCGAACACAAGACGATACGACATCACATCCCTGATATACCGCATAGATCGAAAGAATACATCTATAGAAGGAGACTCCTTGATTTTCGCCTTTCGTTCTGTGGCAGGCTATTGCCAATTCGACATTCGACCACCAATTCTATACTTCAAGATAGCTCGTCACCATGGCACAATCACTGAGCGCCGGTAAAACTGTTTTATGGGCTTTGATATCCGCTACGCTTTCTCACGCAAGCTCAGTCATGGAGAGATCTAGCTTTGGAAATGGACGAAGGTGCGTTTGTGACAGCATGAGCCGCTTGATCGCAAGTAGTGGCTTCCAGTGGCTAATTGCTCGCCGGATTCATATAGAATGTCCCATGTCGGTAATGGACTGCCAGGATGGACCGTATCTGGCTCAGGCTTTCTCCCAGAAATGGTACAATTTTTTTTTTTTTTTTGTTTTTACAATTATCCCCCACTGACGTTCCGGACACAGCGTGCTGACAGCTTAATTACTCGTCTAGTTGTCCGATAGAATTATCTTGACACCCCCTTACCCCGGCAACAAAAGAGGTGCATTATGGGCTGAAGACATGTAGGATCTACCTGCGATTATTATGGGAGCTTTATTTCGAATAGGAGGGCTGACCGGATACACAGAATACCCGACTCAGAATGGCACGTAGCCTTCGATTTCAGAGCAAATGGAGAGGAGAGAAGCGGAGGTAATATACAGCTTTGGTACGTCAAGCAGGCGTCGGCCGTTGGAACGTCGAGCATATATACTGTTGGAAAATTTGATGGTCTCGCTATCACAATTGATACACACGGAGGCAGGGTGAGTCCAGCTTACTTTTGCTACTTTTGCGCATCTAGTTCTAGCCTCAGCCTAACGTGATGGGTATCTAGGCTGGCATTCGAGGCTTTTTAAACGACGGAACCACAGACTACAAAGGCAGTGGTAATGTGGATGCTCTAGCTTTCGGTCACTGTGACTATCAATACCGCAACCTAGGCCGTCCATCAAAGCTACAGGTCAAGCAGTCGAGTCGGGAGTTCGAGGTCTTGATAGATGGAAATACTTGCTTCAAAACCCCAAAGGTAAAAACCTCCCTTGGTAAATATAGGGCAACATTGAAACTAAATATACTCCATAGGTCTTCATTCCCCCAGGGAACGTTTTTGGTATCACAGCCGCCTCGGCTGAGAGCCCTGACTCATTTGAAGCCTTCCGCTTTGTAGCTACCACCTATCCTGGCAACAACCAACAACAGGAGAGAAGACAGGAGTCTCAGCACAGACCTGGTCAGGCCAACTACGATAAAGCACCAACTGGCAGCAACGTGGATATCAAGGATCTCCAGGATCGGCTCCAAGCCATCTCTAGTACAACCAACAAGCTAATTGATGAATTACACGCTCTATCAGCCACCAGCGACGATAGGCTGAAGGAGATCATCCGCATGGTTTCTCACCGCGACCAAGTGAGCAGCGTGGACCAGAGACTTCAGCGCGTGGAGCGAATGGTCGAGTCTATGCAGAGAGAAATAGAGGGCAAGGATTATCATCACCAGTTCAGACAACTGCAAGACCTGTTGCATAACTCTCACTCCGGCCTCTTGGATACCCTCCATGATTCATCTCACCGTACGTATACGTCTGTCATGAAACAGATGCTCAAATCTAGACTAACACATGATAAAATATAGGGATCATCTCAGCCGCTCCACGCATGGGCTTCTTTATTGTCCTTATAATTGCCGTCCAGCTTCTTCTCGCGGTTGCTTACGTCGTCTACAAGAAGCGTAGAGCCAGCATGCCGAAGAAGTTCCTATAGATAAGGAAACAGCAAATTAACCAACCATATAATGTCTTGCATTGATTTACGTAGCTTGCTTGTCTGCTTCTTTTCTGCTCGGGTTTCTACAATTTGTTTCTTTTCATAGCATTTTTTTCCATATTCCATCTATTTGTTCGATTCATCGCCTTAGGCATATTGTTTGACGATGTTGATTTCCATTCCCACCGCCTTTGGGCCTGTATACTAAATAACCAGTTACTGTTCGAATATCATTTTGTGTTAAACGGATGATAAAAGGGGGGTGTCCTTAATGTTACAGCCTACAATGATAAGTCTACGAGAGGATTTAATACTTTGAGGACTCAATATTTGGAGTAATCTGTATTATCTACCCAATACCATTCTACTAACTACATACCTAATCACTACGTGTTTACCTGCCTACTGTCTACGGCCTACGTATTGCCTACAAAGAAACAAAAACCAAACAAACAAGAAAAACAAAATGTGTGGCGTGAGATGTAGCAAGCTTTAGCTCGCTGTCATATTGATACTTTTGGTAAAAAATAATATACAGGATAATGGGACAATAGAAGTGAAGAGGCAAAGTACAAGCAAATCAAAGCAAAGCAAACAATGTCCGTTGGATGGGTGTGGCGGAATGTAGACCCCAAACTCGCTATAATCAGCGGCAGAGTGGGAATACGCTGATAGAGTGGACATGTCGTAAGAGAGAGCGTAAAAAAGAATTGGGTATAAAGGCACAAACGGTTAGCAAGAAACCCGGGAAAAACAAACAACGCCGTGGCCATCTTTTATCTCGCTTCAAAGTCCCATGAGAAAGTAAAAAGAAAAACAAGGTAAAGAGCAATGCTATGCATGCTTTGATCAAGGAAAACAAACAAAGTCCCGTAAACTCCGCCTTTGGTAGGCCCATGCAATGACGCTCAATCTAATATGTCGGTTCCGGAAGAAAACGGGGTGAAGACAGGGAAGCCAAGTGTGAATCGGTTTCGAGAGGTTGGTATGACTAGCGGTGGTTATTTGGCGGTAGAAGTATGTATGGTATGGCGGTAATGGCTCGCAGTCAGATTGTGGTTTGTAGATAGTCCATAAATGGGTTGTAGCCGATAATCGACATTGTTGTTGTTATTGCTGGAGTCACTTGTGGTAATAGCATGTTGTGGAAGTGAACAAGCACCTGAGGCCAATCTCATGGGTATATTATTATTGCCTGATCGTTAAGCTGAGCTAGGTGGATTCTCTGCCCTGATCCCATATGTGGGTATTTGTGGGTTGATGGGAGTTTGACAGAAAAGGTTTTTTTTTTGCGCTCTTTTTTGCTTTCTGTTATCGACCTCAAGAGCAGGAGGCCATGCAAGACCGACGGTCATGGTTCTGGGAGGAATCACACGTCCTGTCACTTGAGGAAGTCGAAAGATGCTATAACGGGCACCAAGTTGAGAGCTCCATGTCTGTGTTTTATTGTTTTTTAGTGGGTGTGTGGGCAGCATGGAGATGAACAAGGGCTTGAAAAGTGGCTTTTTGACCCTTTTTTGAAAGGCAACAGAGAACTTGACGCTGTTATGCTGGATTGGTGACTTGGTGACTTGATAATGCAAGTGATATTGCAGATGGCGCAGATATTGCAGATATTCCAGACGTTGTTGGTTATGCTTTGCTGGTTATGCTTTGCTGAATATGTTTGAAATGCTGACTTGTTGCCTTGATGGCTGGTGCTGGCTGGTGCTGGCTGGTGCCGGTGAAGATTCGTCGAAAAAGATGAGAGTGGTAATTGTTTGGCTTCCCTGTCTTCACCCTGTAGTCAACCAAGAACATACAAAACAAACGGTAAGGAGAAACAGTGACATCTTGAGGGGGGATATAAAATCACAAGAGGATAAGGTAAGTCAGGTCAGTAGAGCCAGCAAGGCCAGTCAGTACAGGGTAAGGGTAAGGGTAAGGGTAAAGGATGCAACACCAGGAACATCACACTCAACTCACAGCTAACCGAACAGAGGAGCCCGACCAGTAACAGCCGCAGCTTATTATCAACGCAGACCCAAGTTAGTCACGATGGGCTGCGTATTGCCGCGAGCAGAGAGGAAGAGACATGAGTGGGCCAGCGGGTATGACGAGGCCAAAACAGACACAGGCACATCATTCCAATTGGAGAGTGTTGACAGGATTGGTCCGTACCTGTTGAAGAATGCAGACACAGCCATCAGATACACATATTGATCGAGGGATTCTTCAAGCACATTTCGTAGAATTGGCACCAGTGCAAGAAGCACTGGAACAAAACACTGGATCTAAACCAAGCCTGCTTGTATTGGTGGGTATAATGTCGGAGTATCCAATGCAACGGGACGAAGCAAAGGATGTGCAGGACGCTGAAGCCTTAAAAGGACGGCATTCAGTTGGTAGATCCAGAGGTCGGAGTAAGCGCAGCGATGCGCTTTCCTACCAATTCTTGAACGGCCTGAAGAATCTCGAGTTCATTGGAGCAGGCACGGAACCCTTCGGGCGTTCCGTCAATGAGGCCAGACATGATCTGCTCCGCTCGCTTGGCCCCTGAGTTGCCAGAGATGTCCATCAGGCCCATCACGGCATCCTGCTCGGCCGACCCAAGTTGAGAGAAGGTAGGCACCGCGGGCGGCACCTCATCCTGCCCCTCTCCCTGAGTACGAGTTTCATCGCCAGCTTCTTTTGCTCTAGCCTCCTCCTCCGCCGCACGTTCGCTCAAAACGTGCGTAATGAACCCATGGACGAGTCCGCGCTCCCTCACGCGGAGGACGACAGCCTCTTGGTCCAGCTCTTTGATGACGCTCTCCTCGTCAGCATCGGGCAGGACCTCGATGTCCACATACTTGGGGTTACGGGGTCGTCGGACCCTACCCGGGTAGTGTTGTTCGAGGGCGTCCTCCAAGTGATTCGGGCATCTCCAGTAATGGTAGGGCTTGTCACTCCCCGGTTTCTGGCGAGGGGGATTCGCCATCGGCGGGTCGAGACAGTCCAGATGCCAGGCGGACGGGCAGTAGTCGCAGAGGATGACCGGTCGCCGGTTCTCTGAGGTCAGACCACATCGAACACAGGCGATGACCTTGCCGTGGGAGTCGAGGATCCGCAATGGATCCTGCTCCTCAACGACTCCTCCACGACTGCCCCGGGCTGGTTTGGCCCGAGTGCTGCCCTCGGGAAGTGCACGCACATCCCTATACTCTCCTCCAGGGCCGGTCTCAACCTCCGCGAAGAATTCGCGCACCTCAGCCGGCAACGAGAAGCCGGTCTGCGGGACGCTATCCATCACCTCCGCGAGGCCCCCCAGAAGACCCTTCTTCTCGCAAGCCGGACAGAACCATTGGCCTGCCGGTGGAGATTTGGGGTCGACTGGAGGTCGCAGGCAGGTGAAGTGGAAAGAATCCACGCAGCCGTCACAGCATAGAAGCTGCCCGTTGCCGCCGCACGCACGGCAGAAATCGATGTTATCGATCTCGTCCGCTTGTACCCTCGGTTTGCGAACTCTCTTGGATGATGAGCCGCCGACGGTGGTAGGCTTTCTGGCGGCTCTGTCCTTGGGCGCCGGAGCCACAGGCACAGGTCTGGTCGACCCCTGACCCTCGCTGTCTGATGGGACAGAAGGACCTGGGAAGACCCAGCCCTGTGGTGGCCCCATTGCTGTCCGGACGTTGCTTTCTTCGGCCTCGTCGGTCACGGCGATGGTGGCCTCCTCTAGTGCTCTGCGCTTCGCAGCGACAGCTTCTTCCGAGAACTCCGGGTCCTCCTCCAACTTGCGCTTCCGTGAGAAAGCCGAGTTGGTTGGGGGGGCCGCGTTAGCTCTCGAGGGACCGGCACGCCGTCTACCGCCTCGAGCCCGGGATCGGGGAGCTCGCGCTCCCTTACCCTTGGCCGAGGTGGTGGTAGGGGCATTGCCTGAGTCCGGCTCAGCAGCGACAGGGGCGAAGGCATCGGCATCTAGGGATTTGGCCGTGGAGAGCGACGACGTGGTGGTCGCCGATGCAGTGCGTACCATGTCGGTGGCAGCGGCACTGTCGTCCAGTTGTTGTTGCTGCTCTGGTTGGGCTTGGGCGCGCTTGACTGCGTCCTTCATCAGGGCTTGGAAGGCGGACCGGTGGTGAGCGTCCGCCGATCTGTTGATGGCGCCCTCCAAGACACCAAGGAGAAATGGATCAGAGGCCGAAGCCTCCTTGATCCAACGGAGGCCACCTGCGACTTTGGAGTCCTGGGACTCCTCCGCACGCGAGATGGCTGATCCGAGGATGTCCATGAGCTTCTCCGAGGTGTACTTCCTCGATGAAGGGACGGCTGGCCCGGCTGACTGGCTGCTGTCAGCCGAGTCGTCAAGCTTGTCCTTGCCCGCAGCTCTCGATCGTGTAATTCTGATGGTTGGCGACTGCTGGCGAGAACGCTCTTCGTGCTCGAGGACTCCCTGAATGATTCCCTCCGCACGGGAACTATCAGACAGGGCGGCGGCGTCCTCAGCAGAAGTAGAAGCGGTGCTAGGCCGCTCGTCGGCATTCTTCGTTGTCTGTTTTGGCTTCGCGGCCCGGCCCCCCTTCCGCTTGGTGATTCTGTTGGCGGTAGTGGTGGGCGCAGGGGGCTCGAGACCAACTCGACGGCGGGCGGCCAAAGTAGGCCGTGTGCCTAGGGGCAGCATGGAGCCGTAAGGGCCACCCCTATTCAAGCCATACCCGCGGCAGGTGGTTTTTGGAATGGCGACGGGTGGTTCCACCCATATCTCTTCATCCGCTCGCGGAGCTGCGGCGGGAACTGGTTGCTCGGTCTCGGTACTCTGTTCTGGAGCTGGCAGAACAGACGACGACTGGCCGGCAAGCTGGGTGTCCTGGCTCTGAGACAGCCCAGCAGCCGTAGCCAGTTGCTGGGAGCCGGGCAGGACCGCCATCTGGGGGCCGACGGCCTGCTCCGGCTGTTCCAGCACGGTGTCCATCTGGCTGCCAGCTGGTTTGCGCTCTGCCTGGCGCTCTTCCTCCTCCACGACGTCCACCGGCGTACGCGTTTCGGTGCCGGTCTTGCGCTGTTTCTTTGGCCGCGCGGTGTCCGAGGTGGAAGAGGAGGACGGCCGGGAAGCAGGCGCACTGTGAGGAGATGATGGCCTGGTGTTGTTGCGCGAGGTGGTGCGCGAGGAGGACCGGAGACGAGGAGCCATCTCGTCAGCTTCTTTTTTTGGCGAAGAAGCTATTTCCCTCAAGAAGATCTGTAGAGCACGCGGTTAGCTTCAGGGCACGTAGATGCAGGGCGAGACCATCACTCACTGAGGGTATTCTCGGTCGAGTTGGCTTGTGCAGCTCAAAACTCGAGGAGTTGGCGATGTCGGTAACCGCGCAGTCCGGCGGTGGTTGGCTGGTGGGTTTTTTTTTTCTCGGGTGAGGTTGGAGATGTTGAGGTTTTGCGTCTTTCTTGCGGGTGACAAGAAGCTAACGGCAGCAATGAGACGGTCAGCCACACAGAACGCAGAACAGGAGACCACCACGAACGGGCGGGAGCAGACTTACGAGGCCAGTGGGAGGGCGTAGTTTGATGTGTAGAAGATGGTGGAATATGCAGAATCTCGAGATCGGGCGAGCTCGAGGCTGTAGTGATGGGCTGCTCGGTGGACTCAGGGGTTGGCCACTGAAGGGAGCAGGATGGAAGATATGGCACAGAGGATGGCTGTATAGGCTCTGTGGATGTCGGTAGACGTCTGTAGGCGACGGTTGAGGACTGTAGCAGTCGAGATAGAGAGGTAGAAGGGGAATTGATGGGTGTAGAGAGCCGGCTGTAGACTCTTTTACTCTTAGTCTCTCTTAGTAGAGAGCTGTAGAAAAGGGAGATGGACAATTGAGAAGGAAGCAAGAGGATGACAGTATAGGCTCTTGATAGAAGATGGGCGCGAAGATGGACGAGTGTGAGCTCGTTGTAGAGTAGATATTGGATAGTGTAGAGGAGATAGATATCTCAACTCGGAGAGGAGAATTTGGAAGATCAGACGCGGATAGAGCCCTTAGATGGTAGATTTGGTAGAGAGAAGAGCAGTCCTGGTCAGTCTTTGACAAGTAGAAGACGACTAGTGGTGATGTTGATGTTGTTGTAGAGAGACAGCAGCTCGAGGGCGCGTCTTGGTGGGAAAGGAAGAGAAGAGGTTAAGCTATCAAGAGACAAGCTGAGAACGATGGGAGAAGCTGAAGAAGCGAGTCAACAGTTGATAGTCAAGTAACTTAGACGAGGAAAGAGAGACGAAGACGTTGAAGACGAAGCGAGTGTGAAGCTGGTGAAGTTGAAAAAAAAAGGGCTGAGGTTGGAGTGGAAGAAGAGAAATTTATATCAAAACAAACAGGACTTCCTGATTAGGCAATGCGTGGTGATTCGGGAGTGTCCAGTGCAGAAAAGGCAGAAGAAGACTTACCAGCGGGTTCTATCAGGTTCGAAAGACGTGAAAGAGGCTGGTCTAGAGGACAGGACACGCTGATGTGATGATGTAGAGGGCAGAAGGGAAGAGGACAGGAAGGATAGGGGGGCTGGTTTTTACTGGGTGGTTGGCGCGGTGATGTGGGATGTCTGTATTGTTTACTAGTTTGATATACGCTATTGTTCTGGAAGAGTCTGCGGCAAAGTGAGGGCAAGCAGGACAGCAGCTTGGTGGTGAAAGCGCCTTGAGGGTGTCGAGGATGCCTCTCACTTGAGCCTGGTATCAAAGGGGGGCTGATTTGTATGATCTGT